GCTAATGTAACAGTTTAAGTGATAGACCTTATTTATTTATTTATTTATTAACATTATGCCTTAAATTTTGTTCATTATCTTTTTTGCTTCATAGTAAACCAAGCTAAATATTAGTGGTCTGCATTTTTCCCATTAACAATTTTTTTTTTAAAAAATTTTGTTTACATGGTTGAGAGGGATGCATGCCCATGTGAGCCTCTGATCAGGGTGGGGAGGGTCAGGTATGGAAGAAGGTGGGTGTTTCAGTGTCTTTTTTCCTCCTGTGTCACAGGGGAGGAGAGGGAATGGGCCACTCGGGGCTGTCAGACTGCATCAGCACGTGGGGAGGCATGGTGGCCCTGACGCTCTGGAGATCCGGGGAGGGGAGGAATGTTCCAAGGATGCCGCTGGAGTAGTTCCATAGCCCTGAAGAGTTGTTGGTGTCGTTGTTCTAGGGCTTGAGAAAATTTCCCCAAGCTTTACTGGTTAGCAGAGTCTGCCTTAGTGCATCCACAGGCTCAGGAACATGCTGCAAAGCTTGGCCGGGAGAACTGTCCAACCTGTTCTGCTTTCCATCCTCCGACAAGGGACTCAGTATCCTCTACTGGCCTAAGTGGGCTGGCTGTCTTATCTCCTTGTGCATCCGGGCATGCTGTCCACCGCACAGGCAGCAGCAGCCGAGAAGGCCCAGCCCCAGTACATGCGCTCCAAGGTCGGACCACACATCCCGTGACCAGCATCTGAGTCCTGTGGAAGTGATGCACCTTTTTATCAAAGGATTGATAAAAGTTATGGACTACAATGATATAATTTTAAAAGAATGCTTATGAATTTCAAATTATTTTGTTGGGACTCTGAACTCTCCTTCCCAGTCTTCTAAGCATCTGGTCTACTTTCCATTTTGTAATTAATTTTTTTTACTCTAATGTCAGGAACTGAAAGATTATTTTTGTAGAAAATTTTTTTTATACCTCAGTGACTAATTTTGAAACAAGATCATATTTTTTTAACAGATTTATTTATTTTTATTGGAAAGTCAGGTATACATAGAGGAGGAGAGATAGAGAGGAAGATCTTCTGTCCGATGATTCACTCCCAAAGTGACCGCAACGGCTGGAACTGAACCGATCTGAAGCCAGGAGCCAGGTCTCCCATGCGGGTACAGGGTTCCAAAGCATTGGGCCGTCCTCGACTGTGTTTCCAGGCCACAGGCAGGGAGCTGGATGGGAAGTGGGGCTGCCAGGATTAGAACTGGCACTCATATGGGATCCTGGCACATTCAGGGTGAGGACTTTAGCTGCTAGACTATTGCGCCGGGCCTATTGATCATATTATTTTTGTCTTAGTATGGAAACCCTCAGCCTTTTCGTTATGGTGACGTAGGCTGTTAGGATGTGCAACCTGGGAGCTGTCCGGAGGAGAGTGCCGGAACACGTGGCACACAGCAGCCGGTGGAGTCCTGGCTCTCCAGCCAATGTTTGTGGCTTCTTCTCTGACCCTCGTTGGAGATACCTGTTTACTCTAGTAATTGGAACTGAGAAGGTCACTTGATATCCAGGTGATTGTGTTTTTATTCCCGTAGCTTAGGTCAGCTAGGACTTCCTTGGGCAAGGCTTTCCGGGCCGCGCACCTACACAGTTCTTTTTTCTTGCCTCATAGCTCCAGTAGCACCCACCACCCTCTGCTGGTAAGTGCTGGGTTACCTGCCTGCCAGCTGGGGCTGTTGGATCACCACTGAGCATTTCAGGGTATCACACACAGCCCTGTGATACGATGCCAAGGACAGGACCTGGCAAGCATGCAGCAGTCAGTTGTAGAAAATGAGGTGCAGATGGTACTGTGTTAAGAAGTTAAAATGTAAATCTGTCAAGGCATGGACTTTAGTATTTTAGTATGTTCTGCCTTTAACATACTTTAAATTTTTTATTTGTGTGTTTACTTGAAAGAGAGGGAGGGAGGAGCTCTACCCACTATTCCATTCCCAGATGCTGCAACAGCTGGGTGGAAGCCAGGACTGGAACTCCATCCAGGTCTGGTATCTGGGAGTTAGGAACCCTGCTTCTTCTTCTTCTTTAGTTATTATTTTATTTTGATAACCTTTACATAGTTGATTGGGGCACAAAGGATCAAGGGCTACAGGAAAGTAGGTAAGAGAGAAAGACCATTGTTTCCATATTCTCTCTCTCTCTCTTTCCTGTATCTGAGGTAAGGGCGGAGATAAACGGAAAAGCCTCACCCAGCCTGCACACAGTCCCCAACGTAGGGCATGCTCCGAGGGCACTGCTCAAGTGTTTTTGATAGTTCAACAGTTCTGAATTGCTGCCAGTCTTGCCATTTCAAGCATGATGAAATTGCTCCAGAATCCACTGGCTGACATAGTCCACCTTAGAGTCTCCTTGTGCCCAGATTCTCACTGCCAACACATGGCTGGCGTAGTTGATTGATTTCTTCTGCCCTCTGTCCTCGGTTGTGGTACCAGGTGTCCTCTGCAGGTTCCAGTGGACTGCCATATTCTCCATGTGCACGAGGGTATACTGTCTACTGCTCCGTCTAAACCACTGAGGAGGCTCAGCTTTGACACATGCACTCCATAGTCAGACCATGGAACCTGCACTTCTCTTCATGGTTGGGGTTCTGAGATCAGCAGTGCAGTTGCAGGGATTCCCCAAAGAAACTTTGTCTGAGGTGATCCCAGACCTGATTCTTGTGTGTGCTTGCCAGTAAGGGTCCGGCACTGTCTGTTGCCCCAGTCAGCTTATGCATATGCTGGTAGTTGCAATTGCTGGGTCAGTTCTGTTTCCAGCCCTGTCTTCCACATGAACCAATTGGTGTTGTAATCCATTTCAATCCTGCCCACCCCGCGCTTGGCCTTCACTTATGCCAGTGGAAGCTACAGCCCAGTTGGAGTGCCTCGCAGTAACCCCCACCAGATGTCGTCAGAGTGACCACAATAATCCCCCCAATCCCACACCCTGCCCTGGTTCCCGTGCTTGCCAGGATGTGCAGCAGGCTGGTCCAGTCTGTCCCACGTCCCACTCAGCTCTCCTACATGTCAGTGTGCGTTGAAGCCTCATTCAACCAACCAGCCCCATCATTCATCCCACACACATGCTGGTGGGTGCCGTTCTGCCCAAGGAACCCTGCTTTTTGAGCCATCACCACTGCCTATCAAGGTCTGCATTAGTGGAAAGCTGGAGTCAGGAGCTGGTGCTGGGTCTCAAACCTGGGCATTCACATGTGGGATGCGGGCCTCTTAACCACTCAGCTCAAGCGCCTCCGCAACAGCATATATTTTCTGTTCAGCTCTGCAAAGGTTCTTCCTAACTAACAGTGCCTGTGCAAACAAAAAGAAGAACTGTTATAAATCTGTTTCCAACAGTAAATGACCTATGCTCTGAGTGGAAATCAAGGATCAGGGTTGGATGTTGTTCCATTTTAGGACTGCATTAGTCTCTGATCTGATCCTTTTCTAGATTTTACATTTATCTAAAATAAGCTTAAAAATCAATGGGAAAAAATGACTATGAAGTTTCAAAATCAATTTATAAAGTGAAAGCAATTTGGGTAGAATAGATTAGATAAAGGTATTTACCTATAAAATTCAAAATTAGTATATGTACTTGTTATTACATACACTAATAGTATATACTCATAGCATACTAGAATTGTTTATTCTAGAGTTACGGCATTATCCATTCTAGAAACCCTAACAGGTACTGTAGGAGCCCCTGGGAACAGGAGGAGAGGGGCAGGGAAGGCTGGAAGATAAGCAGGTGTCCAGGTTGATGGGCAGCTGCCCTGCAGGACCTGCGTCCTGGCTCCCACTGCACACTGAGGCAGAGTGGGGACGGTAGTGAGGGTTGAGTGTAATGTGTGCTTGGTGTATGCCAGTCACTGGCACAGTAAAGGAAAATCACGACCAGGAAGGAATTACACACATCTGAGAATCAATAACCTACCAAATAAAAGAAGGAAGATGAAATAAATGAAATTCTAACTCTAGCCTCTTGTGTTTTAACCTAGATAAATTTCGGAAATTGTTTTAAAAAATTAATTAGGTATTACCAGTGATAAGGGCCCAGAATCAGCCCATTGCAAGGTATTTGTTGTATAAAATTTTAAAAAAGGAGGAGCCAGCATTATGATGCAGTGTGTGCCAGCATCCCATATCCTGGTTGAGTGCCAGTTTGTACCCTGGCTGCTGCACTTCTGATCCAGTTCTCTGCTAATATGCCTGGGAAGGTAGCAAAATATGGCTGAGTCCTTGGGCTGCTGTCCCCATTTAGGGGACTGGGAAGAAGTTGCAGGTTTCTGGCTTTGGACCAGCCCCACCTTCAGCTGTTGCAGCTACTTGAGGAATGAGCCATCAGATGGAAGATCTCTCTCTGTCTGCCTTTCCCTCTCTCACTGTAACTCTACCTTGCAAGTAAATAAGTATCTTTTAAAAATACAGAAATTAGGAAAGAAGGTCAGTAGCTCCGTTAGAAGGGTCAGTTCAGCCAAAGATTGGCTGTCCCAGATGCGTGATGTTCAGTCCTCCTTCCGCTTTCTGCTGGGCAAACCTCTTTTCATGGGAAGTGGTGTGATACAGACAAGAACAGCTAGGGGAATGGGAGCTGCAGCAGAGTGGAGGCTGTCAGTCTAGTCGATGTAATAGCCAATGTAAAGAACTGGAGAGATTTCGTGTGAGAAGGTGAGTTCCTGGTGTTTCTGGAGACCCGGCAGCCACTGGCAGCAAAGAGCAATGGTGGGTCTCACATGATCCTGCACAAGTTTCCTCTGGGTCTGTCATCTGGTTGCAGCGGGCCAAGGCTTGGGCCAGCCTCCGCTGTTCTTCCTGGCACACTAGTAGGGAGCTGGATCAGAAGTGAAACTGCTGGAACTCAAACTGGTGCTCATACAGGATGCTGGTACTGCTTTTTTGCCACAGTGAGGGTCCCACTGTGCTGCCATTTCAGAATTAAAGTCAAAAGTGGGAATTTGTGTCTCTTCCTTTGTGTAATTCTTTTGTTATTTGATAGTTACAGTTGTATTCAGAAGCCAGTGTGGCACTTCTAAAATTGAATAGCCCTAAGGATTTCCAAGAACTGAATAAGCAAACCAAGAAGAACATGACCATTGATGGGAAAGAATTGACCATAAGTCCTGCGTATCTGTTATGGGATCTGAGCGCCATCAGCCAGGTATGTGGTGTGGAAGTTCTATCACAGCTTCAGGGATTTAGAGCTGTGTTAAGGCACGGTGTTAGGAGGAAGACAAGGACTTGAAGTTGGGTTGACTAGAACTTCTAATTATTCAGTCAGTACTATTGCTCTAATATTAATTAAGTGACACAGAACTGGATGCAAGCACCTTTTTATAAATGTATTTTTAAAAATGCTGCATTTGTGTTGGACACTTGTATAATGGACTTTGTATTTCATGGGTTTGTTTAAGTTAGGACTCTGGAAATCTGCCAGAGCACTCTGGCAGAGGAGGAAGTGTGCTTGTGTGGTGTTGCACCTGCTTGACCATGCATCCCTCAGTCCAAGCAGGATGAAGACGTGTCTGCCAGCCGATTTGAAGACAACGAGGAGCTGAGGTACTCGCTGCGATCTATCGAGAAGCATGCGCCGTGGGTTCGGAATATTTTCATTGTCACCAACGGACAGATCCCATCCTGGCTGAACCTTGACAATCCCCGAGTGACGATCGTAACACACCAGGTGCTTGGCTTTGCAAGGCCCCCCAGGCCGTGGTCTCCTGTTCTGTTCTTTGAGTGTGGTACAGGGATCACTAATTTTGTTCCCCTTGCTCTTCTCTTTTGTGTGTCTGCCTTTAACTCTTCCACCTCCCATCCTCCCTCCCACTTTCCCTGCTTCAAACAAACCAAAGTACCTCTTATTCACTCTTTTTTTTTCTCTCTTTTTTCCCCCCATTAAAGGATGTTTTTCGAAATTTGAGTCACTTGCCTACCTTCAGCTCACCTGCAATCGAAAGTCACATCCATCGTATCGAAGGCCTGTCCCAGAAGTTCATCTACCTGAACGATGATGTGATGTTTGGGAAGGACGTCTGGCCGGATGATTTCTACAGTCACTCCAAGGGCCAGAAGGTGAGAGCTGGGGAGAAGGACTTAGCAGGCTTGAGAATGTCTTTGCAAATCAGTTGATACACTGCTAGAATCAAATGTGATCAGATGGGTATTTTTGAGTGTCAAGTCAGGAGAGTCAGCAGCTGGAGAATAAAAAAGCCTGCAGTAGGAAATGCCTGCAAATTGTCAAGCAGCTGGAACTCACATCTTTGTCTCTGACCCTTGAAATTTTACACTACAACAGCAGCAATAAAAGCAGAAAAATCACAAACCCAAATTATAGTTCGACCATCAACAGAATGACAAAGCTGTGAATCCAGCTTAAATCCGTGCTTTAACAATATACATAACACCGCAGTAACGACAGCCTGTCTCACGCTGGCTGTATTTAGAAGCAGGATGGAGAAGCAGCTCGGAGCCCAGCTGCAGGAGTCGACTGTTCGGGAAGATCCATGCAGGACTGTGACTTCCCCCGTGTGTTTCCTAGCTCCATGGCAGGGAAGTGCAAATACTCGTGTGTTGACAGAAACGAGGGAGAAGTGAGGTATTTATCACTTGAGTTTTTAAGTTACAAGACTGTGCAGCTGGGTGCTAATAGCACTTGCCTCCCTGGCCTGTTGCTTCCGTGCCACCCGACTGGGTTCGTTCACTGGGCTCGTCTGTTAAATCGCTGCTCTGTGGCTTACTGGGGAACCACGCGCAGAGTCAGTGGCTGCATACAGCATTTCTTATGCTGCCAGGAGAGCCCTAGTGCCATGGAATGGCAGCACAGCGTTGTTTAGTCGAATTGGCAAGTATTTCTGAAGAGCAAGTGAGCTGGTTTAGGTGATGAAGGACATTCCACATAGACAGAAACATGCAGACACAGGCTTTAATGGGAATGTATTTTCTTTAAAGATGACTTAAATTGTATAAGTGCTCCGTCCCTCCCTTTGAGCTCAGGACACCGTGTCCATTTGTTTGTCACAGGGCCTCCCCGGTGGAGATAAAGGGTCCTCTAAGTTTATCTGTTTTCTCCTGTCAGCCTTGAGACATGATTATGCACAAACTGGCAGTTGTTGGAAAAGCAGTGGCTGGCACTGTTTCCCACCTGCCTTAACACGTGTTTATACTCACATGTTGCTAATTTATATTGAAGATTATAAAACCACATTGTGAAAACCTAATGTGTGAGTTGAGTCCTTCTCACCTCTGCTCAAGTAATGGGAAAGAGTACGTGGACTCCGAACCATCAGGAGGGCAGGACTTAGAAGATACTGTAGGCATGGGCAATTTAAAGGGAATGTAAATATGGACAATCCTTAGGCAATTTTAACTGTGTGTCAGAAACCAGAAGTGAGTTTCTGTTTGATTTCATTGTAGGTTTACTTGACATGGCCTGTGCCCAACTGTGCCGAGGGCTGCCCAGGGTCCTGGATCAAAGATGGCTATTGTGACAAGGCTTGTAATAATTCAGCCTGTGACTGGGACGGTGGTGATTGCTCGGGTAAGCCTGGCTTCAGATGTGATTCACTTATGTTTGGAGATCTCTTTCATTCTGATCCATCACTGGACACGTGCCGTAGACTCCAGCGTTCTTCACGTGTTGACGCAGTCGGCAAGGTGTAGACGCTTTAGAGGTGCTGGTTAGTGTTCCCGTGCCCCCAGTGTGTGTCAGCCACAGCCGAGGGCATGTTCTCATGTGGTTTCTGCACTTGAAAACAGGCTCGAGAGTAAGAGTATCCTAGTGCAAAAATGTGGAACACAATTACGTAAACTCCAGCAAGAATTACTTATAAGAACTCATAGCTAGTAGTTTTCAGTGGCAAAGTACAATAGGCCACAGAATAAGAAAAGAAATGCCAAACAAATAAGCATTCTCTGTCCATAGCAGCTCTTCTCTGGCTCATATACTTTTATTTTGACTTCTTGGTAATAGCTCTCCCCCCACCCCATTCTGCTTTTGGCTTATAAAGCATTCCATTCATTGAGCACCATTGGTTATTAACTTGGATATTTTGGCCACCCAAGAGAGAGTAAGTGCACTGATGTTGGCTACCATCCGTGTTCCCTCATGGATTTGGAGATGTGAAAAAGAGAGGAAGTGAAGCTCCAAGCTGTGTTTCAGTCATGTCTGTCACGTGCCCTTTGGGAAAGTATAAACAGCTGCAGGGAGAGGATGCAAATCATGCCGAGCAGAGAATCCAGCCCCTAGGTGGGCATTAACATTGCTGCCCAGCGCTCAGTGCCCAGGCACACACATTCAGCCACGGCTCTCCCCGGCCCTGCATGCATGGCTGCACGGGCCTCCTCCGAGCCCGTTGGAGCCATGTGTGTGTGGGTTTTCCAGCTGCCAAGAACCAAGTCCTGGCCATCCTGCTCCTTCAGGTGATGCTCCTTTCTTAAGCTGCCTGACCTTTTCTCCTGAAGATGAAATACACTGTTTCTGATTGAAATTAAGTGTCGGTCTTGAAGGTGTTAGTAAGAAATAAGGAGCTGAGTTTCCTAAAAATTGTAAGCTCAACAAGATTCTGCCTTCCTGCTTTTCTCTACAGGCAACAACGCAGGGCATCGGTACGCTGCAGGAGGTGGGGGTACCGGGAGCCTGGGGCTTGGACAGCCCTGGCAGTTTGGCGGAGGACTAAACAGCGTCTCGTACTGTAACCAAGGATGTGCAAATTCCTGGCTTGCCGATAAATTCTGCGACCAAGCCTGCAACGTGTTGTCCTGTGGGTTTGATGCTGGAGACTGTGGGCAAGGTATCTTTATTGCCATAAAAACATTTAAGGATAGGGGATGAGAATCCTTAACGAGTTGAGGGGACTCGGGGTGAATTTTATTGTTTTAAAGTTATCATTCGCTGTGTGACCCCTTTCCGGGTTTGTTTCCAAAATAGTTGCTAAGTTGCAAGTGAAAAAAGGAAGTAGATTTAGAAGACAGTAGACAATAAAAATGTTTTCTGTTCGTTTCATTCTCATTTCTTCAGACTAAGCATGTTTCTCTTAACCAGAAACATGTGGAGAGAGCTTAATTTGTAAATACTGAAAGGAAATCAATAATTAATTAAATAAAAATGGTTTGAATACGGAGTCTTGTTGGTAGCTTGTTCATGGAAGTTGGTAGAAAGGGTTTTTTTTTTTTCAAGTAAGGATGGCAGCCGATTATCAGGATTTAATTACAGAAGGTCCATGTATCTATAGCAAGTCAGGGTAAACATTTCCTGTTAATTATTATGATTGATTCAATGTATTGGGATTTCTGCTTATTTTTAAATCAATTTGAAGTCACTGGTAGGAAGTCAAAATTGAAACCCAGAGGATTAAAGGACAAGAAATAAAATGCCTAGCTTTATTTTTTAAAGTCATGTTTCTGTTTTTTTCCTCTAGAACATTTTCATGAATTGTATAAAGTAACTCTTCTCCCAAACCAGACTCACTATGTTCTTCCAAAAGGTGAATGCCTGCCTTATTTCAGCTTTGCAGAAATAGCCAAAAGAGGAGTTGAAGGGGCCTACAGTGACAACCCAGTCATTCGACATGCTTCTATTGCCAATAAGTGGAAAACCATCCATCTCATAATGCACAAAGGGATGAATGCAACCACAATACATTTTAATCTCACGTTTCAAAATTCACGTGATGAAGAGTTCAAAACCCAGATAACAGTAGAGGTGGATACAAGAGAGGGGCCAAAAGTGAACACTACGACCCAGAAGTCTTACGAAAATCCGGTTAGCCCCGTAACACCTCTAACAGAGGCGGAGGTCCTTTTTGAAGATATCCCAGAAGAAAAACGCTTCCCAAAGGTCAGGAGAGCTGATGGGAACACAACAGGACGAGCCCAAGAGCAGGTGGAAATCCCTCTGGTAAATATTTCTCTCCTTCCCGAAGAGATCCAGCTGAAGCTCCACAAGCTGGATTTGCAGCTGGAACAAGGAGACATCACCGTGAAAGGCTACAATGTGTCCAAGGCAGCCTTGCTGACATCCTTTCTGATGAGTTCACAGGGTGCCAACTTCAGAGTCAGTCCAGCTGTAAGAACAGACATGACGAAGGACAGCATGGAAGCCCCACCGCTGGAGAAACAGGGCCACGGAAGCACCTCACCAAGCAGCCTGGGGGCCCCCCAAGTACAGTGGTCAGCAGGCACAGGAAAAGCAAATGGGCACTCCCAGACTCAGAATCCCCCCCTGGTCTTGGGGACCAAAAGGAGATTTAGGTCAGAAGCTGAGACTCTCAGAGTAGCAGGTGTGTCGAAAGAAAAGCTGTCTTCTCTTGTTGTTCCATTGGAAAACCATGAGGCCAAAGGAAAAATCATAGGGGGAGAAGAGGAAGCAAACAGGATGAACCCCAGTCCTACAGATCACCATGAAGTGCTACCTGGAAGGAGACTGCAGCATTATACAGAAAGCTACCGGGGCTTTTTGCCATGGGAGAAGAAAAAATTTTTCCAAGATCTTCTTGACGTAAGTTACATTCAGCCTTATTCTCTCTCACTCAAGAAAAGTAAGTAACCTTAAAGTTACACTGTGGTAACAGCTACTGTTTATTCAGCATTTCCCTGTGCCAGCTGCTAAACTTAGCGCTTTTCTGATACAATTTCACTTAGGTTTTCTAATAAGCCAAATAACAAAAACATCATAGAAGGGAATTTACTGTTGTTACCCCTGTTTCCTAGCTTAGGAAACAGCTCTAGTGTGGCTAAGTCAGGGGAAGTAGGAGAATAGGACTGACACTTGTCCCCGTGTAACGTGTCTGAGCTGGGCTTCTTCCAGCTGTACAGGTGTGGAAAAGGCCCGAGGTTCAGCTGAGCTCATCAGCTTCCCCGTCCACAGTGTGAGCTGACCCAGAGTCCCAGCTCTCTTATGGCTGCCACCATGCTGGGCTGTCACATCAGGTGTGTGTCTCCCAAATGCTATCCCAGCATGAGCTTCCAGGGAATGCAGTGACTGCTCCTGGAAACTCAGACCATTGAAGCGATGAGATAACTATTTCCATTGAGGTATAAGCAAGGAGTTTAAAGGGAGAAGTCCTTAGCTCTGCGCAGAGATGCTGGGAAGGCCTCCAAGAGGAAGTGGCTTGTGAGCGGACCTTTGAACAGGTGGTAGTTGAGACCAAGCAGTCATGTGATGCAAGCTGGAGAAGGAGTGGCTGTTGTGCTGGCAGAGCAAGGAGGTGAAGGGCGCCTGTCTCGTTCCTCTTGGGCTCTGAAAGTCACCTGCTGCCTGGCGCTAGGCGTTCACTGATTGTTAAGAGTGCACAATTTGCATAATTTCTCCTTTTTTAAAAAGTATATTTGCAAAGTCAGTATTATTGGCTAGTGGTAAAAAAAAAAATTTGCAAGCAATAGAGAAGCATATAGAATAAAAGGAAAGATCTTTCTTCCGTAATTTCCCTCCTTGGAGTAATCACTGTTAACAGGTGAGTATCTTTCTATAGATTTAAAAAAACGCTTTTGAAGTCTGTTCAGTTTCCTCATGTTACGCTTTTCTGTGTGGTCGTACGTCATTGCCACTGTTCTTGCCAAGAACTGCACATTATTTTCCCATGTTTTGTACTTAGACATAATATTATGTTTTTGAACGTGTGTCTTACCCTGGAGTAAGTCTTTGGTGGGTAGAACTACTTGATTCACAAATCTGGTGCGTGCAAACTTTGTAAGTTCTTCGAAAATGTCGCACTGTTTGCTTCTACTGTTCTGTAGAGTGCTTGTTTCTTTGCAGGTTCAACAAGATTGTTAATATCAATGCCCACATTTTCATCAGTTACAGGAATAAAGCTACTTTACCTTTTGTAAAGTGTGTTTGAATTTTTTCTTTAATTTTTTAAACATTTGTTTATTTATTTATTTGAAAGGCAGCGCTACACAGAGAGAGAGAGAAACAGAGCAAGAGAGAGATTCCGTCTGCTGGTTCACTCCCCCCAGATGGCAGCAACGCCAGCGGTGTGCTGGTCCAGAGCTGAGCCGTAGGAGCTCTGTGGGGGTCTCCCACCTGGGTGTAGGGCCAAGTACCTGGACCGTGTTTTGCTATTTTCTCAGGCGCATTAACAGGGAGCTGGATTGGAAACAAAGCAACCAGGGCTCAAACCAGCACCCATATGGGATGCCAGCACCACAGGTGGAAGATTGGCTTGCTATGTCATGGTCCTGGCCTGTGTACTTGAACTCTTTAACTATTTTTTTTTGCCTGTTTAATTTTGTCTGTTAATGGTTTTGATTTTTATAATGTTAACAGTAGTGCATGATGAAACTAAATTTGTTTCTAGTCCTTGTGTTCAAAACTTAAGTACTAGGGTCTAGTGCAGTAGCCGAGTAGCTGAAGTCTTTGCCTTGCATGCACCGGGATCCCACATGGGTGCCGGTTGATGTCCTGGCTGTTCCACTTCCCATCCAGCTCCCTGCTTGAGGCCTGGAAAGGTATTCAAGGACAGCCCAGAACTTTGGGACCCTGCGCCAGTGTGGGAGACCTGGAAAAAGCTCCTGACTCCTGGCTTTGGATTGGCTCAGCTCTGGTTGCTGCAGCCAGTTGGGGAGTGAACCAGCAGACAGAAGGTCTTTTTTGTCTCTCCTTCACTCTGTGAATCTACCTTTCCATCGCCTGTGACTCCAGGGTATAAGCACCCATTCAAGTCTTGACGGCTTCATTTCTTATCCAGCTGCGTGCTGACGCACGTGGGAGAGCAGTGGGTGGGGGCTCAAGTGCTCGCGCACCTGGTGCTCATGTGGCAGACCCTTACAGAATTGCAAGTCCCTGGCTTTGACCTGCCCTAGTCCTGTGCTTTGTGGTCATTCGCAGAGTGAACCAGCACATGTAAGATCAATCTCTCTCTCTCTCCCCGCCCCTCCTTCCTTTCCTCCCTTTTACTACTGTGCCTTCCCCCGTCTCTATCTCTGTAATTCTCTGCTTTTCACGTGAGTAAATCCTTTGAAATATTTCTGTGTAGATATGTTTCCTAAACATTGCATTGAAAAAGTTTGGAAATCTCTTAGTCCATCAGCAGTCCTTGCAGGTCATCATTCAACTGTTGCTGTCAAGGCAACATTTGCCCATCCCGGACAGGGACTGTTTCATGACACATGATTTAAAATGCTGCCTTTCTCTGTGCTGATGAAGTACGCTGAGCATGGCGCTGAGGTCCATGGAATTCTGTTTTCAGGAAGAAGAGTCGTTGAAGACACAATTGGCCTACTTTACTGATAGCAAACGAATCGGGAGGCAACTACAAGACACGTTTGCAGATTCTCTCCGATATGTAAATAAAATTCTAAATAGCAAGTTTGGGTTCACATCCCGGAAAGTCCCTGCACACATGCCGCACATGATCGACCGGATCGTTATGCAAGAACTGCAAGATATGTGAGTTTTACTTGTATTTGAGTTGCGTGGATTTGTTCAGAACTAAGATGACTTGGGATTTGCATGTTCACCAGTCTCGATTTATGGCTCTAATATTTGATGACTGATGTCTCGAAGACACTGTATAAATAAGTAAAAAGCAGGAAAAGTTTCTGTTTCTGTACGTCTCAGATATCTTGCATGCTTTGACCCAGCTCACTCTGTGTCGTATTTGGACAGGTTCCCTGAGGAATTTGACAAGACATCATTTCACAAAGTGCGCCATTCGGAGGATATGCAGTTTGCCTTCTCTTATTTTTATTATCTCATGAGTGCTGTTCAGCCTCTGAATATTTCTCAAGTCTTTGATGAAATTGATACAGATCACTCTGGTGTCTTGTCTGACAGAGAGATCCGAACGCTGGCCACCAGGATTCACGACCTCCCTCTAAGTTTGCAGGTGTTGTGATGTTCTATTCTAACCTCTGTGACACTTGAAATGAAAATTGTAGCTCTAGTTCTTTCTCCCCCCCACACACACATATTTCAATTTAATGTGAGTAAAAGTAATTCTTAATGTAGATGTTTATCATCTTAATGTAGATGTCCATTTGTAGTATCAGAATCAAAACCAAATTGGGAGTCAGCATCATGTGAGGTCACCTTCTTAGGCTTTTAGCAGGAATCCGCCTTGTATTGTGATCACTGAGAAGAGGCACATTGTGCCTGCATGTTCACTGGGAAGGCTTCCAATGCAGCTGACTGACATTACAGCCAGACCTTTGCATCTTATTATTTTTTTTTTTTAAGATTTGTGTATTTTTTTTGAAAGCCTGATATATATATATATAGAGAGAGAGAAGGAGAGATAGAGGAAGATTTTCCATCCACTGATTCACTCCCCAAGTGACTGCAACTGCCAGAGCTGAGCTGACCTGAAGCCAGGAGCTTCTTCTGGGTCTCCCACTTGGATGCAGGGTCCCAAGACTTTGGGCCATCCTTGGCTGCTTTCCCAGGCCACAAGCAGGGAGCTGGAAGGGAAGTGGGTCACCAAGATCTGTTTGGGCTTGGGTTTTGGCCCTGGGATGAGGACACCAGTTGCAATGCTGCACATCCAGTGTTGGAGTGTTTGGTTTAAGTCCCCGCTCCACTTCCTATCCAGCTTCCCACTGATGCTCTCCCATTAGCGGGCAGTAGATAATGGCTCAAGCCCTTGGTTCTCCTTTACCTCTGTGGGACTACAGATTGAGTTTCTGGCTCTTGGTCTTAGCCTGGCCCAGCCTTAGCTGTTGGCATTTGGAAAGTGAAACCGTCTGCCTACCCACCCGACACCCACCCTCAGTTTAAGTTCTCTATCTCTACCTTTCAAAGGGGAAAAAAAGAAAAGTTATGTAGTTAAGCTTTCCTTAAAGGTAGCATTTAAACTAATTTTGGATGTTACATAATATTTTTAAGGCAGTCATATTTATAATAAGAGTGTAATTCATTTCTTCTAATTTTTACTTTGTCAGGATTTGACAAGTTTGGAACACATGCTAATAAATTGCTCCAAAATGCTTCCTGCTAATATCACACAACTAAGCAATATTGCACCAACTCAAGAAGCGTACTACGATCCCAACCTGGTACGTGAGCTGCACACAGTGTGCTCCGCTCTGGGGGAGAGCACTCCAGGGTCTCACACAAGCTCCGTGTTGATGTGTCTGTGATGCAAAGGGGTAACAGATAATCCAGAATCATCATTGTCTTGCTCCCCGACAAAGACACCTAAACTGATGTTCAGATTGCCTATGATCCATTCGCAGATCTCATCAAGGGTGATAGAAACACAGCCTCAGCGCACCCTTGTCCAGGGAGGACAATCTCGAGAGCGAGCCCCAGCCGAGGGAGTGCTGCTGTGCTCCGCTTTGGCACTGCCTGCTTTTCACCCGTGCGGTTAGTGGGTGATTGGCGCAGAGCTCCGTGCAAACGTCCCTTAGCTGAAATACTCTGAACATCATACAGGACACCCAGATTACCAAGTTAAAAACATACTAAAAAATGTGCATCTTAGAATTGATGAAACGAGGGTCTCAGACAGCCGTTAACATGATGATTACGCTGATTTCAACTAATTTGTGGGAAAATGTGTACAAATTGAGGTTAAATGGTAGAATGGGTCGAGGCATGCGCATTGTGTAACTCAGGTGGTGGGAACTCCCCAGTCTGCCATCTGCCCTCCCACGCGCATGCGCAAGTATCTACTCCCGAGGAATCACGGAAAGGGCAAAAGGTCAAACCAGGGCAAATTCTTAGTATTCTTGTTTACATGAGGGTTTTTTTTTTTTCTGTATTTTGTGTAGTGAATAATGTTTGCTCTCATAATCAGGAGAAAATATTATTTTTAAAAATTTACTCTCTTGTAAATCTTCAGACCACATATAAATAATATTGTAATAACTGTGGAGGAACACTTTAAAATCAGTCGAGACTCGGATTCCTGAAGGAAGAAGTGCATTCGGTTAGCACTCATGTGGATCTCAGAGGTTACGTCTCCCACCCGTGTTCCCAGAGAGCCTGTGACGCTCATGAGACGCAGTGTCACGGGGGCAGCCGTTGGAACAGGTGCACCAAGTACAAGTGTTGCCAAGCACTTATAGCTTCATTGAGCGTGTGGCACAAGGTGGTCTATACCTGCGTGCCACTTTATAGCTAATTCTCTGTTTTTGTAGTTTAAACTGCAACTAAAGTTAAACCCACAGCCGAGGGCTAAGCCGATAGGAGTCAGCAGAGAGAAGGAGAGTGGTTCTGGGCTGTGGTTCACAGGGTTGCTTGCCCTGGGCTGGCGGGCGGGCAGGCTGGAGGAGAGCTGCAGCACGTGGCTATGCCTCAGCGGTTTCTCCTGGGTTTGCCGTGACCCAGTAGGACAGAGCACTGTAGGTTTGTGGAAAACGTTTTTACAACACTCTAGGCCACTGTGTAAATGTTCTTGCTTACTGTTGACTTCTTGCTGATTGAAAAGATGTGCATATAATCAGGTGTTTTGCCTGCCTCTACACAGAATAGAATGAAAAATTTAAAAAATGTAAATTGGGTTGTAGAATTAAACATTTTTAGGACCCAACACTGTAGCCTAGTGGCTAAAGTCCTAGTCTTGAGCGCACCGGGATCCCATATGGGTGCTGATTCTAATGCCAGCAACCCCGCTTCCCAGCCAGCTCCCTGCTCGTGGCCTGGGAAAGTAGTGCAGTGTGGCCCAAAGCCTTGGGACCCTGCACCCCATTTGGGAGACCCAGAAGAAGCTTCTAGCTTCTGGCTTCAGATTGACTCAGCTCCGGCAATTGAGGCCACTTGGGGAGTGAATCAACGGATGCAAGATCTTCCTCTCTGTTTCTCCTTTACTCTGTAAAAATCTGACTTTCCAATAAAAATGAATAAATCTTTGGGGAAAAAAGAATTAACTTTTTCAGTTATAGGATGTCTTGTCCTTTTCCAAAATCTGGGGCCACCCCCAACACCCGAAAATTGATACAATCAATTTAAGTCATCCAGGGGTCAGTAGTCTACTTAAAAAAAAAAAAGTATGTGTCCGTGTTTGTCACGGTCATTGAGGTTTCTGTTTGTGAGGAGACGCAGGCATCTGGGAGGACTGAGCGCTTCCCGTGTCCTTTGTGGAGGTTTGTGATGGCAACCCCAGACCATGGCTGGGAGAGAGGAGCTAGGGAAGAACGGTGTGAAACAGACCAGTTCCTGCTTGACCAGCTCCTCCTCCCCCCGGGCCTGCAGGTTCTTTGGGAGGCCACGGGAGGCTCAGGGATATGGTGGGAGATTGCTGAGAGTCTGTTGACCTTGGCCGAAGAATCGGCCCATTTTTGCTCTCAGGGATTCACGGTTGCCCACAGTGTGTCCACATCTCTTCTTCTCTTTTTAAAGATTTATTTTATTATTTTATTGGAAAGATATACAGAGAGGAGAAGAGACAAAGAGGAAGATCTGCCATCTGCTGATTTACTCCCCAATTGGCCACAGTGGCTGGAGCTGAGCCGATCCGAAGCCAGGAGCCCGGAGCTCCTTCTGGGTCTCCCACGCAGGTGCAGGATTCCAGGGCTTTGGACCTTTCTCTACTGCCTTCCCAGGCCACAGGCAGGGAGCTGGATAGGAAGTGGAGCAGCCTGGACATGAACCGGCGCCCATATGGGATCCCAGATGTGAAAGGCGAGGTTTTAGCCACTAGGCCATCATGCCGGGCCGGGTTGGGCCTGAAATATTGCTTTCAAAAAGTACGTACAGTTTTATTTATTATCACAATAATAGTGTTTGTCAAATTTCAAGCACAGAGTTTAGACTCGACATATATTTTTTGAGAGCTAATAATTTAGGATGTTTTTCCTGTTCTTATCATTTAGCCTTGGTATTCATGCAGATAAACTTTTTAACATAGACATTCATGACACTGGCAACATTAGTTCACAGTCCCCGAGGAAATGTTAAGATCAAGGTTTAGGCTTCATCAGTGCGATTGACTGTGATTACATATTGATGAAGAAAATGCTTTCTAATCAGAATAAGAATCTCATGTGGGGAAAGGTGTGATGAAATAAAACTTTATAAAGTCAGTCTATAACCACTGACTTGTAGTATGCAGTTTCATGTTGAAAATAGTGCATGTAAATGTTCATGTTGACTGCTAAGCCTTTTGGCGCCCCCTGCTGTTTGTCATCCAAGCTGAGCGCTCCCTGCCGGCCAGTGTTGGAGCACCTGTTCTTGTATTTTCTCACAGCCACCAGTCACTAAAAGTCTGGTAACCAACTGTAAACCAGTAACTGACAAAATCCACAAAGCGTATAAGGACAAAAACAAATACAGGTAAGGAAAACATCTCCTTCCTCTTCATTTATTTTAAGAACAATTATAGAGGTCTGTTCATTTCAGAAGCTGACAACAATTAGTCTGTTAAGTACTCTTTTAATGTTTATATGAAACTGCTTTCTTTAATAATATTAAAATGTTAAATCATTGTGTGGATGTTAAGTCTACTAAGGTTTTTGAAAGTGTTTTGCTATTGAAATTCAACTCTTAAATTATGTTTTGATAATTAGGTTTGAAATCATGGGAGAAGAAGAAATTGCTTTTAAAATGATTCGTACCAATGTTTCTCATGTCGTTGGCCAGCTGGATGACATAAGGAAAAACCCCAGGTACTGATTTTTACAATGCCTCCCAGGATGGTTAGTTATCGTGGCCCCATAGCTCCGCCATCACTTGGCGATGCTTGCGTCCTGTGTCGGAGTGTCTGTTGACACCAGGTGTTCTGTGCTTCCGATCCGGGTCCCTGGCAGTGCGGCTGGGAAGCAGGAGTAGCCCAAGTCCCTGGGTTCCCGCAGTTTTGACCCGGGCCCGCCCTCGCTGCTACACGCACTTAGGGAGTGAGCCAGCAAGTGGATGCTTCTGTCTCTTCTCTGTCACTTTACCTTTCATATAAATTTAAAACATTACTTCTGATTATGTAAATATGTGTGAATCAAAGGCAACAGGAGTAGAAAGAGGAAAACTGTTATCTCTTTATGCAGCATACAGAAAGGCGTACTGGCGGAGGGAGTGTTTGAGCGTGCGGTTGTTGCATGGTGGTTGGTGACTGGGGTAGGGCCCTCTGCGGAGGCCTGGCCTGGACCTGAGAGGAGGCGTGAGTGAGATAAGAGGGAGGCTGCCTCGTGGGGAAGGCAGAGGAGAAAGAGGCTGTTTCCACAGCGTTTCAGACCTAGCTGTTTCCTCTGTATCTGAACAGCTTTCATCATTTTAAACTTGTTTTATTTTACTTTTGTGAGGGCTCATGTTAGCTCAGGCAAGCCTCATCACTGATTTCAACTTCCGGGTGATGTTTATCCCCTGCACGGGGCTGGACTTGGCTTCGTTCTTACCCCGGCTTGGCGAGGCTTCCTCCTCACACCAGCAGACTGTTACAACACACGCCCCAGGACTTTAACATTGATCAAATACCAATCAAGAGCTTAGACTCACATTTCCCTAGCTGCCTCCAAATGTCCCTCTAGTTGTTGTCAGCTTTTTACTTGTTTTTTAGTTCAGGATTGCAGTCCAGGCCGTGTGTTGCATTTGATTGACACCGCTCTCAGTCCTTTCATTTAAAACAGCCCTCAGGTTTTGAGATGAAATAATGCAGTCACGTGCCGTACAACAATGGAGACATTTTCAGAACTACATCATAGCATTTCTTCATTGAGCAGACATCACAGGATGTGCACGAGCTAAGAGGGTTGTGGGGTTAGTAGATGACACAGTCTTAAGAATGACACACTAATTATGTCACTGGCCAAAATGTTATCATACACACATGATTGTTGAACAAATTTAAATATACCCATCACTTGTCTTCAATGGAAATCAATTTGTATTTGATCTTGTTTCATTTAAGTACACTATTCCTTCACCACTACTTCCAGATTAAGTTTAGGTGAATGTCGGTCATTTTGTGATTTTTTTTTTTGCCAAAAAAAAAAAAAAAAGGATTTGTATATTGATTTGAAAGGAAATGTTTTAGAGCGCGAAAGGGGAGAGAGAGATCGGTCTTCCATCTGCTGATTCACTCCCTAAGTGACTGCACCAGCCGGAATGGAAGCAGTCCAGACCCAGAAGCCAGGAGCTTCCTGGATCTCCTGTATGAATGCAGGGGCAAACACCTGAGCTCCGCTGCTGTTCCAGGCACGTTTGGGTTTGAAGAAGTCAGATTTTACATGTACTGTAATTTTTATACTTTATACTTCTGTGATCTTATTTCAGTTATTTAATTTGTTCATGTGACCCTTGTAATTCCCATAATCTGGAAGTTAGATCCAGAGATTTTATTTCATTTGGGTTTTTGTTTTAAATTTTGGCAAGTATACTTGAAAAATGTTGTCAGCCTTACCTACCACTTTAATGGCCCAAACAGTTCAGTAACTGAAGTAAGTGTAGAAACACAGCTGTAGTATACCTTTTGCCAGAAGTCTAAAATACTTTTTAAAAGATGTAGTTCTGTATTTAAAGATGAGAAGGGGAGAGAGAATCTTTCATTGGCCTATTCATTCCCCACATGGCCACAATGGCTCCAGCCGAAACCCATTGCTTCGTCTGGGTCTCCCGTGTGGGTGCAAGGGCCCAAACACCTAGCCGTCTTCTGCTGCCTTCCCTGGCACATTCACAGGGGTTTGGATCAGAAGTAGTGCAGCCTGGGTCTCCAGCCAGCATCCAAGAGTGAAGCCGGTGTTACAGAGCGTAGCTGTACATGGTCTGTCCCCACCACGCTGGCCCCAGAAGTCTAGAATGTTAGTGTTTCGTTGGAGAGACATCAAAAAGAATCTGTAAAACTTCACTTCTTTCTTGGTTATCTATGTGCCCAGTCTTTAGAGTGTAGCTATCAGTTCAGAGAATTTCATTTTAGCTACTTACTTTTTTCCCTGATAACGATATATTCCAGTCAATTAATGACATTTTTAAATACTGTCTACACAGTAAATGAAAATCATTACATTTACTTAGTTAAATTAAATTTAGTTAGTAGCTTCTTTTAAGGGGTAATCTGCCCTAGTTCTCTTATTTTGTAGGTTAAGATATCTAATAAAATATTTTCTGGAATTTAATTCCCCTAGAGAAAAAAAGAGAGACAGAAGTCCATTTAAAATACATTCAGGGCCTTGTTCTGTTTTTGTTAGGTCAGTACCGTGCTGTGATAAGCAGTAACTCTGGCTTTCTGTTGCCTTAGGAAGTTTGTTTGCCTGAATGACAACATTGACCACAATCATAAAGACGCGCAGACGGTGAAGGCTGTTCTCAGGGACTTCTACGAATCCATGTTTCCGATTCCTTCCCAGTTCGAGCTGCCACGAGAGTATCGGAACCGCTTCCTTCACATGCACGAGCTGCAGGAATGGTACAGTCTGATCGCTCTCTCATATAACTATATGCATGCATATGTCTTCACACATATATTTTAGAGGGATGAAATTTCTTGAACGTGCTATTTGCTCTGTAATTTCATTGTAAAAATAGTTGTAATTCTTCCTCAGGTTAATATTTGAAAGGTACTTGCCAGCATCTTCAGGATATTTGTAAAATATGCTCTGCTTGATTTCAGCCCTCACATTTGCTCAGTTATCTTCCTCCCGTCAGGTGTGAGCTGTGGGGTTGATCCCTGCCAGGAGTGAGCGTGTCAGCAGTGAGTACATGCCAGGAGCTCCCGGCAACTCAGTCACGGCCCGGTTCATCCTCATTCTATATAAAGGAGCTGAGGCACATGTCAGAAGTAACGTGCACAAGGCTCTCGTCTTGTGACAGGGGACGCCAGATAGGGACCTGGGTGTCACCTTGCCAGCCTGTCGGAGCGTGCTGGCTGAGCCGTAGTCGTCATTGTCGATGCCAGCAGAGTAGCCGCCCTCTAGTCCCAGTGCCTGCTGTGTGAGGGCAGTCGTGACAACTGCCTGATTTACTAATGCCGAGTAGCTGGAAGCAGCAGATCCGACCTGGCTCCCAAGCCCTCTGACATTCTCCTGCATCCCAACGCTGCTCGTTTTCTTTTTCTTTTTCTTTCTTTTTTTTTTTTAAAGATTTATTTATTTTTATTGGAAAGTCAGATATACAGAGAGGAGGAGAAACAAAGATCTCTGTCCACCGATTTACTCCCCATGTGACTACAATAGTCAGAGCTGAGCTGATCTAAAGCCAGGGGCCTCTTCCCGGTCTCCCACGCGGGTGCAGGGTCCCAAGGCTTTGGGCCGTCCTCGACTGCTTTCCCGGGCCACAAGCAGGGAGCTGGATGGGAAACGGGGTTGCCGGGATTAGAACCGGTGCCCAAGTGGGATCCCATCGTGTGCAAGGCAAGGACTTTAGCCACTAGGCTATCATGCCAGACCCATAAAGCTGCTTTCTAAGCATTTCATCCTTTGTTTTTTTTTTTTCTTAGATATATTTTTATTTTGACTTTTGAATTAGGTACAATTTTGTATAGACTGGGATTCACCCCCAAACTCCCACCTCCCAACAGTTTTTCCCATTTTACTACAATGGTGTAGTCCTTCATAAGGGATCAAAATTCTATATTGCCTCTATCACCAAAATTTAATTATAATGGTAATTTAATCTTTAGGAATTTGACCTCTATCCGCTTCCATGTGCTGCATGCTGGAAATACAAAAGTGAAAGGAGTGTGACACCTCACTTTTAGTGGGAGGCCTAGATGAGGGTTGACATGTAGTCTACTGTGTGTGAAGGAAGAGTCAGCGCTGCTGGGGTGTACGGGAGGAGAGGGCTGACTCAGCTGAGGAAGGAAGGCACTTGGACGTGGTTTGGGATTGTGCAAAGGAAGTTCCCAGGTAGGAAAGAGCACGCCTGATGGGAGTGACGCGCTCCGAGACACAGAGGGCCTTGTTTGAGGAGAGGATGTGAAGGGCTGCATCCGCATTAGACTTTTCTTGAGAAGAGAAGCCTCCCTGGGATAGGTTTTATAAGGTGCTTGCCATGAACAGATGTCATGGTTTGAAACGGTAACTAATAGGCATGCAGAGGTGGTTCAGAGTGGGACAGAGCTGTGTGGGAACTGTCAGCAAGGAGCCGTGTGCTCAGCGTGTGACTAGGACCGGAAGCAGACCGTGAAGGCGTGGAGCAAGCAGACAGCTGGGGCCTCCAGGGAAAGCCCTGGACCGAAGAAGGGAAAGCTCAGAGGCAGCTCGTGAGGCTCGCTGGGACTCCTGAACGTGAGATTGAGTAAGCAGGTTTATTGCTGACACCTACATGATTCCTGGGAAATGTGTATTATGGAAAAATGCATGGATTTGAAAGCTGTTTTGCACACAGGCAAACTTTACATTTTAATTCTGTTACCTACAAACTTTTTCAAGTACCCTTGTATATATTTTTCTTTTCATTAAGAAGTTGTTACTGAGCCAAAGTTTTGAAGTTTCGAGAAATGCTTCTGTCTGTCCCTTCCCGCTTTCCTTTGCTTTAGGTGTTTCGGCGTGTTAACGCTCCAAATCCAGTTTGTGACTAAATTTACCTGCAGGGGCCCGGAGGAATAGGAAGGGAGTAGGTGTGGGGCTCACTCGAGAGGACTTTGGTTTCTGCGTTGTACAAATGCGTGACTGTGGAGTAGGCCATTCCCTGTAGCCCCCTGCTGGGGCGGGAGGAGGGGGGCTCTGCCCACCCTCCTCAGCGGGTTGTGTTGTTTCTGCTAACCCGGCAGAGCAGCCCCACCTGCTAGAAGGCACCCTCTACCTTGTGTCCTTCCTGCGTGCGGATCATCCAGACCCAGCTTCTGCACTAACCCCTTCTCTGGCCACACTGCAGCAGTCTGGTAGTCCATGCGCCCTCACGGACAGACTGTCTTCACCTCTGAGTCTGCAGTTCCTCCTTGGAGTGTGGGAGGTGCTCAGCTGGGGGGCTCTCCACTGCTGGGGAAACAGGTTAGTTGTTGCACAGCCTGTGGCTTCTTGGCTGTTGAAACTGTAACCAGAGGATAAATGCAGTGTAGACATCAGAACTGATTGTGTTGTTGTGATCCTCTAAGTAGATGTCAGCAAGTCAGAAGGACATGTGACCTGAGACAGTCACTCCCAGAGAGCCGGGGAATTAGCACAGAGGTCCAAACTGCTGGCTGTTGTTATATCTTCTAAACCTTAGAATTTCAAATTTTCAATCTTCATAATAAATTATAGTTCCCAAATTTCAGATGAGGAAAGTGTTAAAGCACCTATCTTTATCCCCAGTATCCTGTCATCCGCAGGTCCAGAACGACCCTTTTCTTGGATCCTTTCACTCACAGCCTAGGACAGCCTTGTCTACTTTTTACGACTGGAACAGTCTGGAATCTGCCTTGCTTGTCCATCGGTCACCCTGATGACCCCTGCTTTTGCCCTCGTTGTGTTGTTGTATTTGCCCCCTGCCGTTTCATCCACCTTCCCGCTGAAGCGTTATGTCCAAGCCCGCGGCAGGGTTTCCCAGAGCACTCGTAGTTCCTTCCCAGCCCCCTTTGCCACGCTCCTCTCTGAGGCCCTTGGTCCTGGCTCCAGCAGGTTCTGCAGATCAGCCCCGACTCCTGCCTTCTACTCCGCTCCTTCCTCAGCTGCACACCCCGTCCCGCCCCCTTAGGCTCAGGGAGGTGGGTCAGCTCTGCACCACTGCCGTTGTCTCCTCTGGTCTCCCACAAGGCTTTCCCTTTGACAGCACATGGTTCTGAGCGTGTTCAGTGATGACGTGTCACTACCTAGATAACTAAACACCTTTCAGACAGGACTTTATTTTTTTCATCCTGCTCAGTTCACAGGAAGTATTTATCAAGTGAGTGAGTATGCAGATACTCCTGAATAGTTGAATAGAGGTGAAAGCATGGGTTTAAGTGTTAGAAGTGGTTTCCCTTTGAAGTCCTCTATCTTGCCTAGATAACTTTAACTGATTGAAGTCTGATATTTACTATCATGTGATAACAAAATCAGCACTCGCTTTTACAGTGGATGTTGTATTAACATTTTAAAAATTGGCCAACAGTGCCTGGCATCCACGGTGTTGTTTGTGAACGCGTGTGTGGAGCGCGCTGCAGCCCTAACAGTGAGTACACGCTGAGGCACGTGTCTGTGTTCTCTGAGCAGGAGAGCCTACCGAGACAGGCTGAAGTTCTGGACCCACTGTGTGCTGGCAACGCTGATTATATTTACTGTATTCTCCTTTTTTGCTGAACAGGTAAGTTTCTTTACGTTTTGTTTGTTAAAACAGTGTTTTGGGTGCAACCTAATCTAGCCTCGGAACTCATTTTAAAAAATGGTATAGATTTGTGACCAGAAAGTTTTGTTTTCTCCTTCTGGCTTTGTAGCTTGATCATGTGTCAGTGTAGCAGCTGCCCTTCATAATATTCAGGCAGCCAACACAATAGCCTCCAGATTAAAATGAAAAAAATCTCTAAATTTTTAAAAAAATATATTTATTTTTATTTGAGAGGGAGATTACACAAAGAGAAGGAGAGATAAAGAAAGATCTTCCATCTACTGATTTACTTGCCAAGGCCACAACGTCCAGACCTGAGCCAAACCAAAGCTGGGAGCCAGAAGCTGCTTCTGGGTCTCCCATATGGGCGCGTCCTCTGCTGCTTTTCCAGGCCCTAAACAGGAACCTGGATCAGAAGTGGCGCAGCCAGGACGCAAACAGGTGTGCATATGGAATGCTGGCGCCGCAGGATGAAGGATTAGTCTGTTGAGCGATTGCATGAGCCTGCCCCAAATCTCTAAATATTTTAACTGTAAAAAAAGCTTTCCTAGAATTCTCATCTGATAGTAATTTTTAAATGAGTCTTCCTTTTGCTTAGCATTCTTTGAGTGACTTCAGGGTGTTAAGACAGCCCATGGTGCTGTGTGTAGCTCTACTCATACTGGTAGTGTCCCAGTTACAATGCCTTTGAATTCCTGAGATTTCCTCTTCCCCCCCTTCTCCTCTCATTGTCAGCCCTCTGCACCTGGGCTTACTTATACACATGCGTACAAATAGTATCCATCAGGTGAGGTTTCAGAAGTAGCAAGGAGATTTGTGTGGTTAAAAGAAAGGGATCAAGTATCCCGTTTCCAGGCATGAAATACTCAGAAGAGAAGGGACTAAAGGAGGGGAACAAGCATCTGGGCCCGCAGGACTTTGGCCGGGCAAGAGACGTCACTTCTGCCTCTGATTCGGGAGTGGAACTTTCCCAGCTGTCACAGGAAACACAAGGAGCGTACTTGTACCAAGAAGGGACATGGCATGTGTGTGCTGAGCACTTTGGGTTCATGCCTGGGCTTCCTGCCACAGGCTGGGGGAGATACGGCCCATGCAATCAGTAGGTAAAGCCGGATGGCAGCTTCCTGTCACCTTGCCCAGGGATCACACCCCTTGTCCTTGCTGGTTATTGTCATTGGTCTTGGCAGGAAAACAACCTCAAGGAGACAGTGCCTGGATGGAGAGCCAAGCTCTTGGGAGTGCTTTGTGGCTCAGTGTCCCGGGGCCTGTGCAGCGGAAGAGGGCGTTAAGCATGGGAGAAAATGTAGCTAGGATTTTTACCCATAGGTGTTTTATTTTTTATTTTTGTTATTATTATTATTTTTTTTTTTTACTTGAGAGAATTAAATAGAGATCTTCTATCTGCTGGTTCATTTTCCACATGGTTACAGTGGCCAGAACTGAGAGCCAGAAACTTCTCCTGGTCTCTCACATGGGTGCAGAGGTCTAGAAGGCCTTTGGCCATCCTCCACTGCTTTTCAAGCCACAAATATGGAGGTAAATTATAAGTGGAGCATCCAGACCTGGCACCATAGCCTAGTGGCTAAGATCCTGGCCTTGCACACGCCAGGATCCACTTCCCATCCAGCCCCATGCTTGTAGCTTGGGAAAGCAGTTGAAAACGGTCCTGGAATCCTCCACCCTCTTGGGAGACCTGGAAGAAATTCCTGGCTCCCGGCTTCGGATCGGCTCAGGTCTGACCATTGTGGTCACTTGATGAGTGAATCAATGGACGGAAGAGCTTCCTGTCTCTTCTCCTCATTGTGTACCTGACTTTACAATAAAAATAAATAAAATCTTTAAAACAAAAAAGTGGAGCAGCCAGGACCCAAACTGGTGCCTATATGATATACCAGAATTGCAGGTTGCTGTGCCACCACTCCAAACCCGTTTTTTTGTATTCTTAAAAGTTTTATCTTAGAAGAATAGACGTTATCGAACCTAAAGATGGTATATTAATGGCTAAACAGAGCCAGTATCCTTCAATTAAAAAAATGATGAAAGGACATCCTGAATATATTTGAACCAAAATAATTTTAATCCTCTTGGATGTCTTTGCAGGCATACATATAGACATTTGGATGTAAAAAAATTTAGTGGTTGGCTTCCATCTTGGGGAAGGAAGAATGATGGGGACTTTTTATCTGCTTCTTACGATGAAAGTCATGGCTGTCAGAAAGAAGTTTGACATATTTATACTCCTTTCATCCACACAGGGAATTGAATTTTATTTTCTGTCTTTCATTGTTTAGCTAATTGCACTTAAGCGGAAGATATTTCCCAGATTTCCCAGAAGGCGGACACACAAAGAAGCTAGCCCTGATCGAATCAGGGTATAGGAGCTCTTCGTTTGAAAATCATCTACCTCAGCATTTACTGAGTATTTTAAAACTTAGCATCACCAAGTTGTCTTCGTGATGTGATGTTCGGCCAGCTTGGCCTGAAGAAGGAAAAACATCCAGGACCCTACCGTCTAGCGGCCTGTGCAGCGCCCACTGCCCAGGAGCCCATCACCGCCTGCCCCAGCGCGTGTGCTGAGCAACCCGGAAGTGGTTTTCCTTTCACAGCATTTGCTCTAAGAGGTTCCCTGGTGAGAAGCAGTTCTCCTTTCCCACAGCGACTCCTGGAAGCTGACTGACATGAGGCCAGCTTAGGGAGGATTGGCTGTGACATGAGGCCAGCTTGGGGAGGATTGTCAGGAAACCCAATCTTTGCATTCCAAAGTGTTTTTTTGCTGTAATTTTGCATTTTTAAAATTTTCTTTCCATTTCCTATTTTTTAAATAAGTAGCTACTAAGTTAACTACATATTCTTGCTTCTGAACAGGGGCTCTAAACATGTGTTGTTTTTTTTTTTTTTAAGATGTTATTTAAATGATACAATAGTATCAACTGTTGGCAATATCTAAATCAGATTTCATTAAATTTGAGACAGTAATTAGTCTTAAACTACTGGCAACTACTGAAGAGCTTCATAACTCTCCTCAAAAATCTCTGTGTTGGTTTTCTTCAGCCCCTGTGATACTGTGATTTCGCGTGCAGGCCTAATTTCAAAGGGCTAGAATGAAGTAGCAGCGCTACTCACCAGTTGTAATTATGCTTTGGAAATGTACATATTGTAACAGAAGTGCCTCATTTTAGAAATGAGTAGTGCTGATGGCGTTGGCACATTCCAGTGGTGTCTTATTTAATATGTGTCGATTCCAGTAGCTTCCTCTTGCAGTTTCCGGTAGAACATGCGTCCACAAACTGTTTCTGTAAAAAAAAAGAAAAAACAAACCAGCCAGTAAATGACGGCAGGCTCCAGATGTCTCAGTCACATCTTCTTTTCTGTCGTTTAGTTCTTTGTTTTTGAAAGAACTCTTCAAAAGGTATAAAAATCCCATTTAGCTTACAGCTCTGTGCAGAAGCAGACCACTGGCCGGATTTGACCCACAGACCATCACTGGAGGACCGCTGAGAACGTTTACCCGTGCGGGTGAACCCTCGCATCAGCCATCTTTTGTTGTATCATTCTACAGCGGATGTGTGGACATGAGAGTCCTTTCTGAACTCTTGATAGATCATGACTCAACAGTATTCTCTCAAAACGGCACACATGTTTTAGAAAAAGATCCTGAGATGTAAATATTGTGTTTGTGCTGCGACGGTTATGTATTTGAAAGAACTGAAGTCTCATAAAAGTTTTGTCTGATGTTTTCATTTTTAATCTCTAAGTGTTGAATGAACTGACTCTAGATTCAGCAGTGTGTCGGGTTCTATAGTGAACACTACTAAAATTAAGTAGAAGGTAAACTTAGGAGAGACGAGTGTTAAACCATGCCAATGAATGGTGCTTGACGGAGGCAGCAGATTGATTCTAGATGAAATTTATATTGTAAAAACTTAGGGACAGATCTAGGATTCCTTGTAAAAGTGAAGAATTCATTCCATCAGGATTTAGAGAAGTGTGTACTTAGATGTATGATAACTTCTGTGGTTAGATTCTGCACACTCCTAGAAAGTTTTTTACTGTGAATAATGAAGAGAAATGATAGATAATATCTAATGATGACACAGTGAATGATGTGTCCCAGGAGGGAGTTTAAGAGGCATCATCCATCATTCTGCACCTGCTCATGTTGGGGCGTTTCATGAGCCAATGAAATGGTGAGCGTCACAGGGGCACATTTGAACCTACTGCGTGAAGTAGGGAGTCTAGAAGTAATTGTTTGATCAAATCCTGAAGTCTTTGCTTGTCAGATCATACATGAAAGAGGTGAAATATAGGGATGATTATGGAGCTGTTGTACGGTTAAGTTGAAGTATATTTTATTTTTACATTATCTGGGAGAGGGGTAACGTATGCACAGCAAAAAGGAATACCCCCAGTCTAGGACACTGTACTCTCAGTGATAAAATTATGAGTGCATTTGATTTCTTTCATGTTCTATCTTCAAAAATTATTTTACTGTGAATATGTTAGTTTTATATCTGGACATGTTGAATTTGGGTTTTAGGTAAACTTATAATGACTTATTAATTAGCCAACCTTGATTTCATTGTAAGAAACTTCATAATGAATTCATTATCCCAAGTCTTGTGATTTTACTTAATTGAATAATTAAAATTTGAAACTTGAGAAATTTCGTTTCAAGTCAGGATGTTGGAAGATGATATAATCCAATCTTAGATGCTGATGGACAATAACCCACTTACATCCTTTTTCCTTGTTCATTTCTAATAATTTCCTGAGATTTCAAAAAATAATGAAGTAATGTTGGTAGGCCACCAGGTGGAGATATTCAGCTATTCCAAACTGGAGAACTGAACTTTTCCTAGTCCCCTCCTGCAGTAGTCAGTCTGGTAGCCTTGGATACAATTCCTTTGTTTTGACAAGTGAAGTTAGAGGTGGGAATACAACAGAGAATGAGAAAGCTGTTTTTATAGTACCAGGTGATACTGACCCAGAAGGAAAGGCTCAGGGAAGTAGAGGGCGCTGGCGAGGAAAATGAAGACCTGTAGTGGTCAGGACAGCATTAGCGGAAACCTGGCAGCTACATGATGCTCTCCTACAGCGACTGAGGGGGAAGAAGCTCCGGTGAAAGGGGGTATCTATGGCCTGTGCAGTGTCACCTCACCAGGCCATTACTAAAAGTCCTGCTGCTTGCCAAATACTTGGAACTGAATGAGACACCGTATGAAAGACAGTGTCTCAGGATAGTGTGGGAGGAGTGGTCACCAGAAGATCCTGGGAAACCAATCTTTACCACCAACTGGCCTTTGGGTTAGCAGTCAGCTTTTTCGATCTTTTTTGAGAAATACTTCCTTAAAAACCCAACAGTGTCCTGCAATATTTTATATATTTTCAGTTACTGCTATTCAAAGTAATAACTGTCTCCAAATCTATGTTTGGTAATGAAATGTTCTAATTTTAGTTAAAACATGCATTTTTTGTTATTAAATATGTCTGACACTGGCTGGCATTCATGTGTTTGATATTCAGGAAATTGTGTACCAGTGACACAATAAGTATCCATTATATTATAATATTGATAGCTTATATTTATTGAGTAGCTGTTATTTGCTGTTTAATGCTTTTAAAGAGTTGTTATGCATTATTTCACTCTTTAAAATTCAGAATACTGTAAGTCTTAAAAAGCTCATTTAAATAGCAGAAAACAGAAACTGAAGCTTGGAGAAATCAACTGATTTAACCAAGATCTCACAGTTTGTAAGGAACAGCCCAATTAAATTTTGTATTGAATTTTAAGTCATCTTTTAAACTTTTTTTTTTTTTTTTTAGTTTTTCCTTGAGCAAAATACTTCTTTAATTCTTCCTGGAATTCTTCTGTGTAAGTTGTTCACCTAAATCCTGATTCTCTTCTTTCTTGGCCCTTAGTTACACAATGTTTCCCAGTTTTCCTTGCTATAAGGTGTAACTGATTATAGGCACTAAGACGTAAACAGAAATGATGTGTGATGCTTCCGGAATGAGCCATAAAATTCTACTGGTGCTGTTCCATACACTTTGAAATGTTTAGTTTGTGGGGCTGGGGACTGCCTAAGGGCAACCTTGGACACCACCCAGTGAAGATTGTGGAGTTTCCAGTAGTTTGAGTCCCTGATTAACTACCTCAATGAAGGCTACAGTTAGGACCTGCTCATTCCCCCAGTGCTGTTGGAGGAGAAATGGCTTCAAAAAAACAAAAACACCTCATATGTGTTGGACTTTATTTCTTGTAGTAATAGTCTGTCCTAGCTAATTCAAGCTGAATTTTTTAAAAAGTATATCCAGTTATGTTTAACACATTCTGATTTGCATTTTAAGAGTATATTCAGTTAATGAGAGAATCAAGATGGCAGAATAGGATAAGGACATGTTTTTTTTAAAAGATTTATTTATTTTTTAAAGATTTATTTTTATTATTTTTCTATTGGAAAGGCGATATACAGAGAGGAGAGACAGAGAGGAAGATCTTCCGTCTGATGATTCACTCCTCAAGTGAGCGCAATGGCTGATGCTATGCTGGTCCGAAGCCAGGAGCCAGGAACTTCTTCCGGGTCTCCCAGGCAGATGCAGGGTCCCAAGGGTTTGGGCCATCCTTGACTGCTTTCCCAGGCCACAAGCAGGGAGCTGGATGGGAAGTGGAGCTGCTGGGATTAGAACCGGCGCCCATAGGGGTTCCCAGCATGTTCAAGGCAAGGACTTTAGCCGCTAGGCCACGCCGCCGGGCCCAGAACAGGATAAGGACATGTTTAAGCATGACAGAGAAACATTAGCCAGTGTAAAGCAGAAACCATGGTGGAAATCTAACATAAGAACCCAGACCTGGAACTTGCTGGATGGAGTGACCCAAGTGACTACAAAGAGCCATGTACCAGCCACAATGAGTAAAATCGAACTGTAGACCTGTGGGTGACATAGCTTAGAAACCTGCCCCCTAGGGAAGACTGTTAACCAGAAGTACAATGACCAAGAGCAAAAGGAGAGAAAAAGGCACAATGACTATTACTGAAGACTCCCCTACAAAGGAGCAAAAGATTTGCCAACCTCAGAGTCAACTGAGGAAGACATCGAGAAAATGGGGGACACAGAATTCAAAATACTTGTTATGAAACTTTTTATCAGTAACAAGAAACAACATGGGATCCCAATGCATGCAAAGGCAAGGATTTAGCCACTAGGCTATTGTACTGGATCCTGCATGAACTTTTTAATGGCTTTCTTGTGTCATACTTTTAGTTGTAATCCTAAAGGCAATTCATTCCTTCACTAATTTGTTTCGAAACATACATCGAAAACAACCTCTTTGCAATGTAATTTCATACATAGTTCTCTACAAAGCATTTTCTGTACTATTGAAACAAAACTATCTATAAACAAATATAATAAGGAGCATTCCAAAAGGAACAAAGGTAACAAAATAAATTACACAGGCATGAAAGTATACTTGACCTCTTGAAAGACTGACATGCCTTTTCCCTTGTTGGGAAATTTCAGTATCATCAATGAATACATTAATTCAGCCTGTATCTTGTCTCTCCCATATTCTTGGAGAGAGACAAAATGACACTCAACATTTTGCTGTAAAAATATACAAAAGGAGACACTGGAACAGCTATTTTTAGGGGGCAGGGAGCTCAAACTACCCTTGCAGATAGACTCATGAGCCTCTGTAAGTCAGCATGGTGTAATGCATGAGTAGGCATGTAGACCAAAGGAATGTAGCAGAAAATGCAGACGCTGACTTAACTTCCCATGGAAACCCAGGATATCATACAGGCAGTGCATCAGACCAACAGGACAATCACAGAGTTACTCTGACAAAGCTAATTTGAGCAAGAAATAAAGGTCTTGGAGTCACACTACATTCCAGATCGAAGATAGTTCAGGACACATCATCATTTAGAATTTGGTAACTTTAAAATCAAGTTGGGAGATGACATAGGGAAATTACCAGACAGGTGCAATCTGGCTAATACCTTAGTTGGGCATGGTTTGGGAACCTTTGGCTTCTGGTTGCCCGGAAATTTGAGCTGGTGGGCTGCCTAACTGCAGCCTATGGCCTTGGGTTACACTACTTGCCCATCAAGTTAGGTTGTAGTGCACACCAAGTGCCCAAAACTTTGAATCAAACAGTATGAAAATGTATAGATCAAGTTTATTTTGGTTTTCACAACTAGCATAAAAAGAAACTTAGAAATGGACACGAAATGCTAAACAACTATATGCTACAAAGTTGATCAACTCAGGTTTGTAACAGGTATATAAGTGATCTAACATTTTAAAAATACGAATCTTATTTACCATGCTAGCAAAGTGCATGATTCTTTGAATATAGAATTTAATTAATTGCAATATCCATGATTTAAAATAATACAAAACATGAGAGCAAAATCAAGTACTTAACAAACTTAGAACACCAGCTTTCAAACAGGACAACTACCAAAAACCTATCATTGTTTATATAAACCAGAAAGAATATCCTCTTCAAATGGGGAAGAGCGGCAAGGAAGCCTGGCAGTGAGGTTTCTGTTCATGGTTGAACACTGTTTAAGTGGTGCAGTCAGAAAAGAAATCTAGAAGTTGGAAGGACAATTATTCAGAGATAAGATTGTAACATCCCAAACTACATCAGATCACTAGAAATAATAACTTTATCAAGTTGCCTGGTATAAGAATAATCAAAAATTAAGGTTAGATGCTAGCTACAATTGGAATGAAGCTACAACAAAATGTTATTTTTAGTTGTCTTATATACAAAACCTGCCTAGGCATTCTAACCTAATTGCATAATAGCAAGCCCTGCACTAAGTGGAAAAGACATTATGTTCATTAATAGGAAGTTACTTTTCTCCAAATTTATTCGGTGCAATTTCAATGAAAATCCAGCATGTTTTTGACATAGAACTTGTAAAATTGACCTCACAATTCCTTGAAAAGCGGAAGCAAAATACTAAGGATACCTGTGAAGAAAAGTGAGGTGTGAGACTTGTCCTATTAGTTAGCAAGCTTTAGTAAAAAGAAAGCTGGAGTAATCAAAAGCATGGCAAAGCAAACTGACCAGTGGGAGTTGCTAAAATAGGATTGAGAAACAAATGGAAATTTGACGACATGGCTCATCCAGAGGAAGCATTCTCAACTCAGTAAATGCAAATGAGACAGTTGAGTTCGCCCTAAGGGAGAATATGTAATTAGATCTCTGTATAGTACCAGGCACAAAAAATAAATTCTTGAGGAGGGAAGACCAATTTAAAGTAAAGCCTTAATATCTATATAAAAACCAGAGGGAGATATTTTTGTGACTTCTGGGCAAAAAAAATTTTTTTTTAATGCTTACGTAAAGTCATAATACTCAGCATTTGTAAAGACTCCAATAAGAAACACACCTACTTGAGAAGTGAATAAGAAATCCAAATGGATGTTTTAAGGAAGCGGAAAAGCAAACAGCCAACAGCGTTTAAAGAGGTTACTCTTGTTCGTGATTACAAAAGATCTCAATTTACACTCACTAAAATGGCAAATTGAAAAGTGACAATTCCAGGAGATCATGTATACTTGTAACAAAGGAAACTCACTGTGCTGGTGTCGGTGTAACTGGAAAACAAGATGGATTGCTGACTATCAAACAGCCTATTAACTGGTACCTGAAATTTTTTTTTTTTTTTTTTGGAAAGGCAGATTTTTGCTAAGCTATTTTTTATTATGGTTTTATGATACAGTTCCATAGGCTCTGAGATCTCCCTCCCCTGCTGCTCTCCCCTCTGAGGTATTACAGTGGGTGGTTCTTTATGAACAGTCTTAGGTCCGTCATGCAGTTATTGGGGTGTTCCCCACATCGTGGGCATAGACGATGTCGCAGAATCCCGTGTCCTGCTGTTAGGATCATTTCATCTCATTGGGAGTCCGTATTTCGTCTGGATGCAAAGACACAGACTGCGCTTTGTCTCCACTTTTTGATACCTGAACTCTTACAAACTTGGCGAAAACACGAAAGAGGCTAGAATGAATATCTACAATAAAATTGTTGATACATAGGTCCTGATCTGAAAAGAACCCAGATGTCTATCAGCAAGAAAAATCAACGAACTCTCTGTGGAATAGCGTCAGGGCAGAATGTTATTCAGCCATGGGAGTGAAAGAACGCAGGCGCGGAGGAGCCCTCGGGCGGCAGAACGCTGAGGAACCAGTGGGCACCGAAGACTGCGGTGCCATGGCCCCATGGTGTGCAACGCCCAAATACGAACAAGACCGAGTCCTGCTGCTTAAGGGCACGTGCATGTGTAGATGTGGTAACGAAACCTAGAAGACAGGTGGTAGTGAGTCAGTGACACAAATTGGGCAACATTTTGACACTTTGAACCGGTGAGGGAAGACAGGGGAGGCGGTGGAAAGGATTTTCTGAGGAGATTCAGTATTAGTAACATTCTACCAAAGGTGGTGTATTAGTCATAATTTGATCACATACATTGTGATTTTTCACTACTTCGAAAACACCCAAGCAACTGGCGGTTGTCTAAAAATAGCAACATCCAACGTTTTTAACTAGCGAACTACGGGTGTGTGGAGGCTTGGCCCTCCAACACGCATGCGCGCGGTTCCCAGCCAATCAGGGGCAAGCCTGACTGAGGCCCCACGTGAATCACAATTCACCTTAGAAGCTTCCAGGCGTCGAAACGAAGCGAATTGGCAGGTGAGGAGCCGGGCGGAGGGAGCTCAAGCTGTGCGGTGTCCCTGGAGGGAGACCGTGGGCGGGCGGCCCGCGTGGGAGGCGAGGGCTGAGGAGGGGTCCCTGGAGGGAGACCGTGGGCGGGCGGCCCGCGTGGGAGGCGAGGGCTGAGGAGGGGTCCCTGGAGGGAGACCGTGGACGGGCGGCCCGCGTGGGAGGCGAGGGCTGAGGAGGGGTCCCGGCACGCAGGTCCAGGGCACTGGGGTCGCAGGGCGCGGCTCTGTCTCCGGTCTCCTCGAACTCCTGAGAAGCAAGTTAACCAATGATCTGAGGGGCGCGTCTTGCTTCTTTCTCCTTCTGTAAGGTTGAGGACATCTTAAGAAAGGATGGTTCATTTACCCAGATCCTGATGCGGCCAGCGTTTGGCCTTCGTTTCTATCAATCGTTCTTCCTTTCTCCTTTTGCTTTCTCTTTTCTTTCCCCTCTCTCGGTGTTTCATTTTCCTTCTTGTCTCTCTTCCTGTCAGTATCGTCTTTTCTGATGTTTTGGTCCAATAAAAGAAATCAGGAAACTCTTGAAATTTTAACTAAGGTAATTTTGACTTTTAAAAACACATTGTAATGATGCCTTTGGATTCAAGTTTGAGAGTTTTGTTTTGTTTTGTTTTGTTTTGTTTTAAGAACAGCAAAATGGCGCCTGCTGGCAGAAAGCATTCTGGAAAGTTACGGAATGTGTCCATAGGCTCTCCCGAGAGAGCCTATGACTTCCAGAAAGAAGTGGAAGATTGCAGTGAGTCAGAGGAGGACATTCTAGAAGGTACAATACCTCTAACGTTGGGCAGTGACCCACAGAGCATTTGTTTTAAACCTATGACATTTGAAACTATAATAAAGCTTCAACTATTTTCATTTACTTTCTCATTTACTATGACCCATTGTCACAGTTCCAGAAGCTTCTATGATCCTGAGTCCTGATACACTTTAATCCAACCTGCACAAAGTGTTGCGTTTATAAATTTGCTGAAAAACTTAAAAGCCTCAAAAGCCTGGTTTAAAAAAAAAATTACTAGGATACCACATCTAATTTTTAAAATGCTTTTCTTTACAGGAAAAATTCCAGTAGTTAACAAACGTGGGAAGAAAAGACCTTCAAGATTATTTGAAGATGTGGGGTAACATGTTCAAATTAATTTTTGCTTGATAAAGTAGTTCAGGGAAGTCCATTTTGCCTTGCAATTATTGTGTGTAAAAGTACTTTGCATGTAACATTTCTTCCAAAGTAGGCATGATAATCTGTGGATCTTTAATTAAAAGGGTTTTTTTTTTTTTTTTTTTAATGTTATTACTTCCACAGGGGCGAAGTACAGAGTATGCTGGAACGGTTTGGAGGTAATTTTTACTTTTTGTTTTGAAATTCTAGATTACATTAAGCTTGAACAGTGAGGAGTGCTAGTGTGTATGGCTGTTATGCAATGCCGTTCTCATGCAGAGAACACCAGTGTTTGTGATTTAGTATCATAGGCTTTCCTATTTTTTCCATGATATGAAAGAGAATGGTGCTTTTATACAAGATTTATTGATTTTTATTGGAAAGAGAGATATACAGAGAGACAAAAAGATCTGTTGTTTCACGCCCCAAGTGGCTGCAGTGGCTGGAGCTGAGCTGATCTGAAGCCAAATGCCAGGACCCTGTTCTGGGTCTTCCACATGGGTGCAGGAGCCCAAGGGTTTAGGCCATCCCGTCCTTTTTTTTCCAGGCCACAAGCAGGGAGCTGGATGGGAAATGGAGTATCAGGATAAAATCGTTGCCCATACGGGATCCTGGCACATGTAAGGCCAGGATTTAGCCACTAGGCGATCACACTGGGCCTAGGGTATGGAATTTTCAAAACAAAGCAGATGGAAGGCTAGCATTACTTATACCTGCAAGTGCTAACATCCCATCGAAGCACCTGTTTGAGTCCCGGCTGCTCCACTTCTGATCCAGGTTGCCATTAACGCACCTTTGAAAGCACGAGAAGATGGCCCAAGTGTCTGTCCACTGTGCCCATGTGGGAGCAGCAGAGGAGGCTCCTGGTTTGGGCTTGGACTAGCCCTGGCCATCACAGCCATTTGAGGAGTGAACCAGCAGATGTTAAATTCTCTCTGTCTCTCCTCCAACTCTGTCTTTCAAATAAAAATAAAAAGATGGGGAAAGGTTTTATCCTTGTTTGAATTTGTAGTTTTTTCTGTATTTGATTACCTTCTATGATTTTTCCCATGTTCTTTTGAGAGGACTGCAAATGGCAACCTGTAAAGTAACTCAGTTTTAACTAAGAAACTCATGCTCATATACAAGCATAAGTAAACGTAAGAACAGCTCTGCCAGCCAGATAGATCTTTATAATGAAGTCCAAAAATACTTAATGCTTTTATATTTTTTTCAACTACTTCTCCTTGAATATTTGTGGTGTTGGTTGGCTCTTAATACTGCCCCTAAATTAAAAAATTATCTTCAGTTGAGAGGACCAGACTTGTTAGTATATACGTTGAGTATACTTTGTCTAATGCTTGGGGTGAGAAGTTTCAGATTTCAGGGTTTTTGGATTTTGGAATATTTGCATAAACTTTACTGGTTGAGCATCACTGGTGCAAAATCCCAGCTCTGTAGTGGAGCATTTTTAGGAGTTGAGTTTTCCAATTAGGGATATTCATCTTGTGCTCACAACAAAGTTTTCTCAAACAAAAGGCAAACAAACCTGTCTTTTAAAATCATACCTATTTTTTTTTAATGTAGTTTTAAGTGTAGTTTTAAATGTTTTGATATTTTAAAATCAACTTCACCCTTTTGTACTTAAATATGTGAAAAACAATAATCTTGTGCAATATTGAATTTTGATGGATATTTGTTTTCTATGTAGCGGACATTCATAAGGCTCTTCTTGCCAAAAGAAAGAGACTAGAAAATTACACCAAGGCTTCCTTCAAAAACAGTAATCAGATAATTGAACATTTTTGGAGAGCACAGCAAGAGAAAAGGTAGGAGGTATAGCATTCGCATCATGCTTTAACAGTTACTGGAGCAAAGTCGTTCATTAAAAATACTTTGTAGCTCCTAGTGAAAGTATGTAAAAGTAGATTTTTCTCTACACAAGTAAATATTTTAGTCCTTTGATACCATTCTTAGAAATGAAATGCATTTCCCTGAAAATAGATAAAGGTTATTTTTTCCTTTAATAACAATTGTCTTTTTAAATATAAATCATTATAAAAATGATTTCTGTTCATTCTGGATAAGTTTTAAAAAGTAAATGTTGTAGAAACAGTACTATAGTTAAAAATGTTCAACAATGTACAAAAACACCAACCTTCCATTGTAAAAAACTCGTTTTAACTTAATCGTCCATTTGTGGAATCTTTGTTGTACCAAAATGGGGGGAAGTTAAGTTAAATAATTCAGTTTGGAAGTAGTGTAGGATAAATACAAAGTCTTCTAGTCTATCTGAGCTTGCGTTCATAAGGGGAAAAAAATTAATTTGGAAATGAGTGAATTTTTCTCTAACTTTGACAATAAAGTTTTTTCAATTTTTTTTTTTGTTTGTTTGTTTTGTTTTCAAGAGCTAAAGTACATGAGAAGGCTTTTCTGTTAGCTTGTTTGGGAAAAAAAAAACCTTCTGAAATCAGCATAAACCATAATTTTACTTCTTGGTTTCCTATCAGAATATTGAAGCCGTTACTTCCTTAGTATAAATGTCAGTATGAAATCTGATAATATTCACTTCTGTGTTTTGCAGGCGGGAGCTTCACCAAGAGTTTTCTCAGCAGTTTCAAACTTTGTTTCAGCAATGGGATTTAGATCTGCAGAACTCTGTGGAACAGGAAGAAAAGCTAACTGTTCGTGTCATGAGTAGTTCTATTAATCTGTTACAACCAAGTGTCAAGTAGGCATGGAGAGCCTTGCCTTCCATTAGACCCCAGAACTGAGCCAATTCTGCATTTTAGCTTGGCTGTATTTTAGCTTTGGTACATGCCAAACTCAGAAGTCATTGATTTTTACACTGATTGGGATTCTGTTGCTTCTAAGTGACAAAAATATGTTCAAGTATAAAAGAAGGATTACTGGTTTACATAAAAGGTGTGGGGGAGGGTAGTTCAGCTTCAGGTATAGCTGAATGAGGAAACAAGAATCGTTTATGTAGTGTCACCTGAGCTCTGTTGCCAATTCTTGGTAGGCTGACAGTTCTGGAACTTCTGGGAAGCCAGTGGACTGAAACAACCTTTCTTAATACTTCTCCAAGAAAATTCTTCTGGACAAATATCACCGATGCAGTTTGCAGCATTTGCCATCAGAAGGCAGATTGCTTTTAATAGGCAGACTTGTGACCTGACCATACTTACAGGAGAAGGGAGTCAGCTCCACTCATATTGGCCCATATTGGATAACTACCTTTCACTTCATCCTTTGTCACTATCAAACATTCTTTCAGTCCCGATCCAGTGTTCATATCAAGTAATTTGGGGTAGGTTGATTGGCTTGATTTTGGAAATGCTAAATTTGACATGAACATAGTCTTTGGCAACCAGTTGTTAGCCACAAAGCTGGATAGGGTGTTCATGGTCACGCTTCAGGTTCCCTACCTATGAAAGGGGAATGATGAACACTTTTAAGTTGGGGGATTAAATGAGTTCATTTCTAAGCTTATTTAAAAGAATATAGAATAGCATCTGACACATTTTTAATATACATTTGGCATTATTAATACCTTATAAAACTATTGGTAATCACAACATATAGGTTATGGATACATAAGTGTGTGGCCAAAGCAGGGTGGAAGAAAAAATAATTGATGGAAAATAGATCAGCTAAGGAGAAGACCATCACTACTGGATAGATCACCTGTGTGAATAGTCAAATTACCAAGAATTAGTACATGTCTTAAAATTTCCTACTAAGTAACTTACAGGATTAATCAATTGTTGCACGTTAGTGGTAGACACAAATGATAAAAACTTGCCATAACAATCAAGACAAAATGTTAATAGTTTCAACTTAAAAACTATTGTTTTTAAGTTTAGGATTTTTTTTTTTTTGCTAATTAAAAAAATTTTTTTACCCAAATTATTATGTAACTTTTCTCTTTTATATTTGTAGAATTTGTTTCGACAACAACAAAAGGCTTTTCAACAATCTAGAAATCTTCAAAGCCAGAGACTGAAAACAATCAGACAGCTTTGTGAGCAGTTAATAAAGGTCTTGTATAAGAATTACACAGGACATTGTTTTAAACGATGTATTTCCAGCACATAATTGTTTCTATTTCCAAATTTACTGGGAAAAACACTTTGCTTGTAGGTTTAAAAATTTAAACTACTTTCCATTTTGAATCATTTTTTTAATTTAACTTGGCTAGTGTCTTACATCCTGTTTTGTGGAGATTATTCAAAACAAATGATAAATGGAGCAGTTTTACTAGAAATGAATTTAATGTACATCAGATTCATATTTCACTAATACTTTAGATGAGTTTTCTTTAACTGAAAAGTCTGTAAATAATTTCTAGGAGTAGTCTTGTACTTGTCTTTAGATCTTGTGAAGTTTTTTAATTACCCAGTGAAATTACTGTCTTGTTTCTTAATGTGTTGAAAGTATTTCATAGCATATTTGCTTTTATAGTTAAAAATGGCTTTATGTGCCAATTTATGAGATAGCCAAGGAGTCAACATTTGTGGGTTGAGAATTACCTACTGATACATATGCGTAATTATAACTGGGTACCATTTTTTAAAGATTAATTATTTTTATTGGAAAGGTGGATTTATAGAGAGAAAAGGACAGATAGGAGAGAGACAGCTTCTATCCACTGGCTTACTCCCTAAACAGTCACTCCAGCTGAAGCTGGGCCAGTCTAAAGCCAGCAGCTTCTTCTGGCCATTAGCAGAGAACCACATGGAAAAGAGCAACTGTGACTCAAACTGGTATCCACAGGGGATGCCTCTACCTGTGTAAAAGGTAGAGGCTTAACTCGCTACACCACAGCACCAGCCCCCAACACCGACCTCTTTATGTAGAAATATACTTAGTTTTTAGTAAGCATTCATAGGAATTCAATCGAATTCTGAAGATGCTTCTTTTTAAAAATTAGGAGTGGTTCTTTTAATTAAATTGCCACTGCCACAATTCAGGACCTAATTAGTCTGTTTTTGTGCTATAAAAACTCTTGGAGCCATTGTTGTAGCACAGCAAGTTAATCTGCTGCTTCTAACACTGACATCCCATGTGGAAGTGCTGGTCAAGTCCTAGAAGCCTGTTTCTGACCCAGCTTCCGGCTGAAGATGATGGCTAAGCACTCAGGCTCTTAGTCCTTCTGGGGCTAGGGGACTGGGACGCCCTTTAGGCTCTCACTCCCTCCCATGTCTCACTGTGCCTTTCAGCCCAGTTACTCTGTTCTCTGATCTGACTTTTCTAGTCTGCCTTACTGCACACTTGTTCTCAAAGAGTAGCTTTCCGTTCTTCGGTGTCTGCAATGTTCACCCTCCCCATGATGAGCCCACTTTCCAAGTTCTGTTTTCTAATCCCCTTACTCCCAACTTTGCACGTAATTGCCTTCTCTGAACCCATTATGTACACACACTTCCCTGAGATACTTTTAACTCTTTGAAACTACTGAAATATTAGCCTCTTGTCAGGTACATTGGAATAATAGTCACAGCCAGTTGTGTTTCTGTTCGTTTTGTGAAGTTGTGTTTGGTTTTTACGTTCTCATCGGAGTAAGGGAGAACAGTGACCTGTTTGTAAATTTCTCCACAGCACTTAGTACTTTTTAAATAGCAGCCACTAAGATAACTTCCTTTGAACAGTAAAGACTCAAGATGTTTTCGTTCTTCATCATTTGATAAACGAGGTCTTAACACAGATCATTTTATTCTTCTAGTGAATTCCTATTACATTTACAACCATAATTAATTACCTGATATTAGAAAAGCTTCTTGGAAAACTTTCTAAACTACAGTGTTTATTAATGTATCGGTCCTATCCTTTTTTGTTGGCTTGATTCATCTTGACCTTAGTAGTTATTAACACATTGTTTTGAGCAAATTACACTACTTTTGCAGCTCCTATATTATTCTTCATGTCCGATACTTTAGTTCCTTTATGCATTCTGGTCTTCATATATGAGGCTATTTTTTTATTTGGAACAAATATTAAAAAGTTGTTACTTTTAAACCTTATTTGTACAATTTTAGAACCTGAGATGAAAAGTTGAGGTTTGTAAATGAACTTTTTATGTTTTAGAATATGGAGGACTTGGAAAAGAATGATGAAAATCTATTTAATGGTACACAAACTGAATTTAAGAAAGAAATGGCCATGTTGCAGAAAAAAATTATGATGGAAACGGTGAGTCATGATTCAGTCATGATTAAAATGGAGAAAATAAGGTTAATATAAGCACTGGAATACTTTATTTGCTGAAATATGCTAACACATAAATAAAAACCAAATGTTTAATATTTCTCTTCATGAAACAGCAGCAGCAAGAGATGGCAAGTGTCCGCAAGTCTCTTCAATCCGTGTTATTCTGATGACTCTTTGAAGAAAGAACTTGAACCTAAATGACAGAATGGAGTGAGACGTTAGCTTATGTTAACACTTTAGAACAGTTTAGAAATTGTAGTTTAAGTGGTAATATTCATCTTTAATTACTAGCTTAGTTCAGTGTAAGATACCTCCTCTCTGTTAACATCCAAATAAAATCCAAATAGTTAATATCAAAATTTCCTTAGGCCTTTAAGTTGTATTAAAGAATTTTCCTAAGACCTGTCAATTGCTTTGTCAATAAAGATTTAAATGTGGGCTTTGGCTTCTGTGTATCTGTATTAGTCCCAAAAAGTACAAAGCACAAGATAGATGGTTAACTAGAAGGTTCGGTACCTCAAAAAACAAGGGGTACCAAATGTATTTTACATGTGCATCCTTTTCTGCACACTTACTCAGTTACATTCAAGTGAAAATATTTTTAAAGAAAAATCTATTAACTTATATTGCAAGGAACTAAACTAGAATTTGTGTTCTGGAAAAAAAAACTGATTAAAATTAGTAAAACAAGATACCAGTTTTAAGACACATACTTCTAAAAATGTCTACAGACATCAAAACATCTTTCAGCAATGATTGATAGCATGTCATTAATTTATTCAATTACTTACAGGCTAAGTACTTCTCATCTGTCTTTAAAGAATATCTACAATAGGGGCCGGCACTGTGGCATAGTAGGTTAAGTCTCTGCCTGAGGTAATGCCATATGGCTGCTGGTTCAAGTCCCAGCTGTTCCACTTCTGAACCAGCTCCCTGCTAATGTGCTTTTGAAAGCACCCGAAGGTGGCCTAAGTCCTTGGGTTCCTGCACCCATGTGGGAAACTCAGAATATCCTTCTGAGTCCTTACTTAAGACTTGCCTAGCTCCAGCATGTGGAGACATTTGGGGAGGAAACTAGCCAGTAGAAGCTCTCTTTCTGTAAATCTGGACTTTCCAATAAAAATAAGTTTCAAAGAAAAGATACCTCTACAGATTTTCAACCTTAATAATAAATATGTGGAAATATTTCTAAACTTAAATTTTATACTTTTTAAAATTTGCATTTTTAAAATATTTTATTTACTTTTATTGGAAAGAGAGGAGAGACAGAGAGGAAGATCTTCCGTCTGCTGATTCACTCCTCAAGTGGCCACAACAACTGGAGCTGAGCCCATCTGAAGCCAGGAGCCAGGAGCCTCTTCCAGTCTGCCATGCGGGTGCAGGGTTCCAAGGCTTTGGGCTGTCCTCGACTGCTTTCCCAGGCCACAAGCAGGGAGCTGGATGAGAAGTGGGGCTGCCGGGATTAGAACCAGCACCCATGCATGCAAGTCAAGGATTTTAGCTGCTAGGCTAAAAATTTGCCCTAAAATTTGCATTTTACTTAGAAAAATACGTGCCACTTTGTTAGATAGTATGTTGCTTTAACATTTGATGAATCAGTTTTTAAGCTTAGCTTTTATTTTTCCTGACATTGTTTCCCATAACTCATTCAAAATAAAAATATGGTTTGTTAGGAGAAGAGAAATGAGTGATTTTCATCTTCTTTCCCCTGCTTTTTCATGCTTGAAGTTCAGATTTTTTTTTCTCTAAAACCTGTTCTTTTGAGGTTTCTCTGGTTTTTAAAGACATGTCCATACCCACTCTCTTTTTAAAACTGTGATGATATACGAGTTAGTCCATCATCATTAACAAATATTTGGTATGAAGAGGGTACTTTTTTTCCCCATAATTTCCAAGCATTAAAGGAGATTCTGCTTTTATGCCCATGTAAATCTTGTAAAATAAATTACATAGTCTGTGTAAACTCCTAATGGGGCTGTGAAGTTTTACCAAATGCATAACTCAGGCTGTGGTTTGTATGTTAATCCACATAAGTATTTTTGCTTTTTTCTTACTTATGTAGCGATAATATTTATTATTCCTGTATTTCCCTATAACTGTAGTATTAAAATTAAAGATGGTATAATGGGAATCTGAAGATTGGGATTACCAAGATCTTTTTGATAGTATTCATAATGAGCAATCTAAATATGAGAACGCGAAAATAAAAACCAGATAAAAATGAAAAATTATTTCACCCTCTGACCACCTTATACAAGATGTGCTTCAAGTAACTCACCAGTTTTTCAAGAGAAGGTTTTTTGCTTTGTTTTAATGAATTCTTACATGTCAACTATTTTAGGTATTTTTATGTTTCATAATAGGGGACACTTTCACATTTTATGACAATAAAAATTTAACTCAGCATCAAGAACCAAGGCGCTCTCAATGTAAAGATGCTTATGCTTTTCTTTTTACTAAATACAAATGGTTAAAAATCCCAGAGGTCTTTAAAATTCTAGTTGATACTTGCAAGTACTTTTTTTTACACCATAGTAAACACATTTTTGAAAGGGTCTAATATTAAAATTTTTAACAAAGGGACTAACACCTCAAGAAGAAGAAAATCTTTTCAGTTCTGAATTTTTACACGATCTTTTGGCAATAAAAAGCCTGAGTATTTCTCCCAGATTCTGAAGGGAGGGACCGTGCAGAAACAGAGGGGTCTACTGGCTTACATTATTATTCAAATTGCTTTTCGTTTTGTTTTGTTTCAACATTACAGATTTTACTATCACAATAATATCCATGACCAAAACATTGCTATATAATGAGGGCTTCATAACTGAAATAGACAGACTCTTCAGGATTTCTATTTTTTATTCAAATAGACCTTATTTGATTGTATACTGGCCTCCTGCATAGGGAGATTTCCTTGACTCCCAGGTTCCCCTAACTGCTTCTCCTCTTTTCCTTGGGCTATTAGTCAGTCAGTATGCTTGTAAACCTGTTCCGGTGCTTGATGACATGACGTCTTGAAGATACTTAGATGAAGGTGTCTTGAGATTTGCAGGCACAAAGCACTAAAATACATCAGCATATCAAATGAAGAAATGACCTTCAGAAGCAAAAAAAAAAAAGAAATACAAAATGTGTTATGATATTTTTTGAACTTGCAGTACTATTTCCTTGCCAATCCCAAATGTCCTTAATGAAAAGCACCACATATAGAATACTTTAATGTTTCATATTCAGTCTTCATTAGAGTCCCCTGGAATATTCAGGGACCTTCACAGTTGTAGAAACGGAGGCATATAGAAGTAAAAGGATTAGACTAAAATACAGAAACCCAAAACTCTCTTCTGACTCTAGTTCTCTCAACTTACTGAAGGAGCTATCAGCCATTGTCTTACATTGAACCCATTCTATCAGATACTTTAGTCTTTTGAGATTAAAAAAAGACATGTCTGGAAAACACACCATAGCTGAAGCACCATGTACAAAATTTTGTTCCATACAAAATTAGTCAAGGAGGTCTCTACTTAAGAGATATTGCCCAGAGAACAGCCAGACTTCCCTTCAGAAGCCAAAAGAAAAAGCAGTCCCATAGCTGTGCCCTTGGAGAGGAAACTAAGCCTTATCAAACCCTTTTTCCAGCAGGATGCCATATGATACACATATTTTTGATTGGTCTGCATTGTGTGTGTCTGTGTCTTTAAATGGTCATGAAACTAATGGAGTGTTTTACAGAAAAGTTGGGGAGCGTGGGTTTAGGTGCAGCAGTGACACTGTGGCTTGGGATGACCACATCCCACACCCAACTTCTCTGCTTCCAGGGCAGATTCCTGCTAACGCAGACTCCGAGAGGCATGAGATGACACAACTGGTTGGATTCCTGCCACCCACAGGCCCAGAATCTAGGCTCCCGGCTCCTGACTGGCCCAGCCCTATTGCATTTAGGCAATACACCAGTGGGTAGAAGAAACCCTTCTTTCTCTCTCTCCTTCCCTTACAAAATAGCAAATGAAATGAAGTGAGAGAAAAAGAAAAACTTAATTGGACTCTTCAGTTCACAATAAACCAAGCCTATTACTCATTACAAAATATATGTTTAATACCAATTGTGTGAAATAATTCCAATTGGTGATACATAAATTCACTAGAAAAATCTTCAAAAATATTACAGTTAATTTTCAGATATATTTAATAATCACTGTTGTTTCTGAAGCTGGATTGTTTATAAGCCCTAAAGACATTTATAGTGGATACCAAAATACCTTAAAGCATTAAGACAGAATTTTTCGCCAGAAGTTCTGGAAGACTTCTGAAAGAACTACGAATGAACATTAAGCTATTAATTTTGCCCATAAAAAGTGTAGTACTTCCCAGCCTAGCGGAGGGTCATTGGATGCATCCCAGAGTCCAGGCACGGGACACACACTGGTTTTTAAAATAACGAAAATCTGACCTATCGGGCGACATTCCTTGAATTATCAAAATATTCACGGTGGCATGAATGTTTAAGAACATGTCAGTGTATTCATGTTACTAACAATGTGGTGCTGGCTGCCAAGATCAAGAGACAGGGAAACAACGGCAGCCAAACTGTCCAACACCAGCGTTAGCTGAAGGTGCATAAACATGCATCTCAATAGTGTTTTCAAAATGTGATCATGCTCCATTTACCCGGCTTTGACGATAAGTCTCCTCGGATGACTAAAGTGCCTCTACTTTTAGTCAATCTGACTGCAAATATATGTATTATTTATATCTCTTTCATAAGTAGGACATAATGAGAATTAATTACCCTTTCCTGATGAAAGGGTCACTATTAAAACAACTCATATAGACATTCAAAGTTGCTTGCTTCCAGTATAACATAGTCTCAGAATTCAGTAACCTCATCTAATTTGCCTGTGACCTATTAGAAGCTGCGAGTAACCCCCCAGACGATGGTTAGTTCAGAAAGCCCCTTGGGCTGCACAAGTGGGTTTTGATTACGGGAGATGGAAGGAATGGTCCTTCCTAGGTGCGCCCCTGTATTTCTAAGGATCTAGGTTATTGGTAGCCTGACCTCCAGGGACACCAGCCATTTCCACAGTTAATATGAAAATTAACCATCTCAGGAGACCTAACTTGAAATATTCAGAAACATTTACTTTAGAGAGTAGATCTTGAGGCTACTGAAACCTCAGTTCAAGTGCTTATTAAACATCACCTGATCTGACCTCTATTCAGCAAACAGCAAAAAAATCACTTACCATGGCTATCCACAGAACAATATACTCATCTACAAAATTATTAAAATACTGGTCTAAAAACAAAAGACCGGGCCCAGCAAAGACGGAGTCTTGAAGATAGAGTT